TTGACGGATGCAGAGAAGAAGAAGTTCCCGTTGCGAACTCACGCGTAGGATAAAGAAGAGGTTATGAGTGCCAACGAGGTCAATACCGACCCAAAAGATGAGCAGATTGATTCGCCTTATGGAAAAACCGATGAACCCAAAAATAGAAGAGCAGAACGACCACGGAAGAGATAGAAGCTTTATGAGGTCGCAATGCCTGAAGCGCGTGATCATTGACAGGTACCCACCAAGCTCCGAACGTCTAATGCACGGGCCAGGATGAAAGTGAAACCCGCCGATTGATATTAGAAGCTGATAACAGCACATAGAGCAGTGTTGCTGCGTCGCAAGACCGTGTCACTTTGGTAGAGTGGGTGGAGTTAGAAGTAGAGATCGCTGTGAGAGAGAAGATGTGCCTTTGAAGAAGTATTTTTGGAATTCTGAGATGAGAACTTCGACAGTGGTGAAGCGCCGGGCAACGAGGAAGGAGAAAGGAAAGGCCATAATGACAGAGGAAGGAACCTTAGGGCGAAAGCAAGTTCCTTCGGCTAAAGCCTGGGTAAGTGCTCATTTGGAGAAGCCTGCAGAAGTGCTGACAGTGTCATCAGCCACAGAGAAGGACCCGATGACCCTAGAGAAGATAGCAGAGAGGGTAGTGGAAGACGTAGCAAGAGAGACTTCTAAGTAGTAGCCGGTGACGTCATCTCAAACGTCCACGGGAACGGTTATATTGGAGACGAGCGAAGATCCTTCGGCAGAAGAGATTCGATCGAAAGGGGTCAATTTTGCGAACGTGCTGAGTGAACAAGCAATACCTCTACTTTGGTATCTTGACAGCAAGCTTGGGAAGTGTGCAGGTGCCACCAATGTCGGATCTTACGTGGAGTTAGTGCGTAATAGAACGCGGGTAAAGGTGGCAATGGCTCATGCAATAGCAGAGAAGGAGAGGCAGCTCCGGGAGACAAAGGCGAAGTATGAGGTACTTCAGAGAAGATAAACCGATGAAGTTGAATTGCGAAAGTCCTTGAAAGTCCTGTGAGAGTCTTCGGACTGATATTAAGGTCACCAGATGTGTGACAATCGATCTTCAAAATAGAGTTGAGGCGTCTCGGGTAGCTTTTAACGAGGAGTCGCGAAGTATGGACGAGCTGTCTGCAAATTCGAAGAAAAAGAATTAGGCGCATGCAGCAGAAATGGCAGCAAAGGTGAAGGCTATGTCGGAGTGTGAGGCTGCTAGGACCTCGGACCAGGAGCTAATAGAGAGATTGGATGCCAAATGTAATGAGATGATCTCAGTGATCGTTGGCCAAGGAGCAGTTTTGTGAGATGAAGGTGAAATGGTTGGAGGCGGAGGAGAAGAATCGACAGTCAACGGAGCACACGAACGATACCTTGACAGAGAAGGTGAATCGGTGCCTGCGAGTATTTGTATTATGGCAAGTTGAGACGCAAAAATGGTTGTTGTTACGAGATCTGGAGCGTCGCGCGACTACAATGATAACGTGTAGTGTTAGTGGGCAGCGTTAGTAAGCTAGGAAGCTAGATGCGTTTCTTACCAGTTTGTGTGAGATGATGGCGAGTTTGGAGTTGGAACTGACGGCCGTTTTGCGTAGATTATGTTTAGATCGGAAGTCGTATAGCGCGACAATCGCCGACTGAGCGGGCGGTATGCCTGTTCGGAGCTCCCATTAGAGCGAATGACATCTCGGAGTGTTAGTTAAGAATAAAGTAGCCCAAGGCTTCGGCCTCGGAGGGATTTTTGATAGTTAGTTTTCTCAGTTTTGAGCTTGCATTCTCCGCGCACTTGTGTATCGAGAGTTTTGTCACCGGGCGAGAGGTACTTCGGGGTGTCGAAGATACCACATTCAAGGTAGTGGCCCCATTCGGATGTTCTGAGTAGCAATCAACTAGATTATGATTTAAGCAAATTTGTAATTTGAAGCTTCGTGCAGTTACTGAGTGTATCCTTTGGGAATTCCCCCCCCCCCCCCCCCCTGAATACTAAGACAGGGTCGTGATCGACCTTTGTGATGTTGGAGTGGAGAGTTTCAGGATTGTTGTGTGATTTACGCATCATTGTGCCTCCTTCGAATTTAGCACCTGCAATATTTTTGGTAGTGGCAGTTGCCTGAGAATTCAAACTCCTCAATAGATTGTTAAATGCGTGATACTTGTTGCTCTTTGTGTTGTTTCTGTCCTCGTGGGATCGGATCTTTACCATTATGCTGTATTTGAGTATTTATCTGTCATTACAATGAACATGTGATCGATCAACAATCAGTACATAATGTGAGTATATGCAAGTGAACCCTTCAAACATGTGACATGTCCATTGCTCAAATAGATTGTCTCATGCTTTTTGGGTGGAGCTTGCTAATTGACTCCATTTATCAGCCCGCAGAAAGTTGCGAAATAGTTTTTTTTGGATGTGGAAATCATAGTCTTGCAATAGTTATTAAATACCCAAGGACGTGAGGCGAGTCGTACGTCCTTAGGTACCTATACTATCAAGTATAGGTACTGAATACTTAGTTAAGTACCCTAAAGTTTCTAGATTTGTCTCCCCTCATACTCTGTTTCACTTCAGCTCTTGCACGTTCCAGCTAGTTCCTACTCTTTCACGCTTCTTCTCTGTCATACTCATGCACTGTAAGTCAATAATAAAACATGGATGACATGTGCTGTTGTTGAGATACCGTTGGATAAAACTATACTTGATGAATACCAGCAAGTAATTTTTTGTGATCTTGTCACCTCATGCTTTTGGAAAATGCTAACTCCTTCTGTTTCATCACATCATGTTTTAGCCATGTCAATTTTGCTCCACCACCTCATGTTTCTGCCACCTCATCAATATGATAATCATCATCTCATGTTTCCATAAATTGTCATATTTCCACATATTCATCACCTCATGTTTGTGCTGCTTTTAACTTAACAAATTGAATCACATGTTGATTTTTACACATTCTTTTTGTATAATATTTTTTAACCAATATCATTGATAATGATTAAATTTGTCTTATCTAGTTCAAATATGAACTAAATAATTCAAAATTTCTTTGATTTTATTTAAAAAATCATTATATTTATAATAATTGTGATTTTTTCAAATTAGTCTTTGGATTGTTGTCAAAATGAAAGGCGGTTTTGAAGAGCTTATCTCACCATTGCATTCAGTTTATATGCAATATAATATTACTAACTACATAGGAAACTTATTTGAAAATATACAACTAATACTTTAAAGTTATTTATCCGATAGATTTGAAATCTTGACAATAAAATGGTTTTTAACAAAATGAACATGTCAGAATTGATACAATCAATTGTTCTAAAATGTACATCAACTAACTTTTTGCATTAACAAAAACTAAGAAGAATATATGTAATAGGTTGATAATTAGCCTTCTCATTCATCAATCTCAGGCTGAAAAATTAACAAGTTGACTCAAACAGAAAAGGAATTTATTACAACTTCTATATGTATACAAAACATCATTTTTTGAACTTGATGTCTTATTATGATTAAAAGTTTTGCAAAACATTCTAATATATATTTGATTTTAATGCTGTTGTGATTTAACAACCAGCAACTATAGACCATTAAATTCTTCCTCCGATAGCTTTTCTCTCTGATAGTGTAACAGCAAACTAGACAATGTGATTATGTGTCAATCTTGAAGTAGTAACTAAATTATGACTATATATATATATATATATATATAAATGCATAATTGCATGAATGTATTTGTTGTATAATTATACAGGGAATTGATTGTGATTTAAAAGTAATGATTGTGTTTGGCTTGTTTTAGTTTAAATTAGCTATCAAATCTATAATTGAAATGATAACTAGACATGGTTTTAGATATTTTCAATGTACATTAATATTATGTATTTATCAAATTTTAGAATTGAAATTAAACAATTATCTTATCATATGTTAGATTTGAATGTCCCTCTAAATTTTGATTGATTGAATTCAACATCAAGTATAGATTTTTGAAGCTTTAAAATTTCAATGTTATGTACTCATCTTAGCATAAGGTAAGAAAAGGTTTTAAAAATTCTAGACAAGTTTTTCTCATGTTATCATATTTTTTAAAAAAAGATGATTAGTAATAATTATCAAGATAGATTATAGTGAAAGAAATTTGTAGGGTAATTATCATAGTAAATGTTTGAGTACAGTGTTTAGAAAAGTATACTTAAAAAACGTTTGAAAATAATTTTATGTCAGGATTTGTTAATCATGAAGAGTTCATTTTTTTTGTAAGAACTTTGAAATTTAAAAAAACACTATATTAATTATTTATACAAAAATGCATTGAGCACAAAAAAATGTAAAGAATATAGATAATGTTAATTTGAAGTATTATGACTTGGTGATAAATGACTTATTCGAAGTGAAATAAAGTAGAAGTACATCAAAATTCAGAGAAAAAAATGTTATTAACAAAAAATTGCAAAAAATTATTGAAAATTCAAAAGAAAATAAAAATAAATACTATGGAAAATGACTAAAATAAAAGTATCCACTAACGAATCTCGAAATGACATGACAAATCTCAATTGAAAGATGATCGCAACAACAAATGTCATGAAAACAAAAACGTTACTTTGCATTTTTGGATTAATGAGTGATCTTTTGGCTAGAAGTAAAATAGGTTTTTAAATGGTTTTTCGATGTAAATTTTTAGTCAAAAGATTAAAAAGTAGTTTTGAAATATAACTAGAAGTAAAACATAAAATCTCAAAAGGTCTAACGATCGCCTACTATTTCACTGAAGTGGGCTAGCATGGGGAACGCCAATTCAGCGAAGCAAAATTCCCAATGATAACGTTTAATTTATAAGAAAGGTGGTGGAAATCAGTATGTCTAGTAACCAACGCACTAACAAGGCGAGTTCGTAGGTTGGGAAAGAACACACAGATTGGAAATAATACTCGATCTCTGGAAAGTAAAACACAGACGATGCGTTGAAGTGCCCTAGGAGGAATGAGGTTTCGTGATCAAAGTACAGAGAAAATCCCTTAACAATTTACGGGACAGGAATCCTTAGATTATGATATTCGCTTCAGTACATAAGAATTGCATGACCATGATGGTATTGTTCCCGGGTTGGGTGAACGGCTCCGTAGAACGTGGAGCTCTGCAAACGGGAGCAAGATATCAGATCCTGTCTGGACTACCGCGTCTGCAGAAGATGTATTCCCCTAATATTATAGTCAAACATGAAATTTTAGCTCACTGCCTTGGTGCAAAACTGTGAATTTCTCGGGGAAGTTGTACAGAAGAAGATTTCCACGTAAAATTTGGTGGCTTGGTTCAGTCGTTTCTTCAAGAGAGAAATCTCGTCATAACAGATTCCCTTGACACATATCTGCGATGAGTTTTCAAGGCATTCGTGGGTCAATGATATCTATAGTGTTCAGACATTACACAATGCTCATTGAAAAATACTCAATGCTTAACGTTGACTTTTATATTCCTTAATTTCAGAGCGAACTGGACCAATAGCTTTTCAAGAGCCACAAACGAGATGAAATTAGTGTAGACTAACAGATGGCAAACTTCACAAGTTGCCACATCATGGAATGAACTAAAGAGCTGACTGAAAGTGGTCAACCAAAACTACCTCAAGGGAATTGTTTTACCTTGAGCGCATTGGTAAACAGCGGCTGCAGAACCAAGACGAGCCCGGTGACTGAGGGGGGTCAAGGCAGAATGTATGGCAAGATCTCTGACCGCATCTATTACAACTTATCAAGAGCTCCGGAGAGTCCTTACTTTCACACGTGATGCACATCCCTTCCTGCACGTTCACGTTCGTGTATGTTAGACTCTCTGTTGTGCAGCACTGTCAATATCGCAACTTAGAGGAACGCTCTATACCTTAGCAAGTTACTAACACGAAATATTCTCGCTCAAAGTGTGTAAGTCCAAAGCTGACAAGTAGTCTTTCGAGAAGCCAGGTCTCTTTCAGGATAACTTAGATAGCATTAACTAACTGGACCTGTAGACCCTATAACCCTCGTTGTATACGTTCTACCCAGTTGGTTTCATTAACAACGTGCAATCCTGAGAGGAACGTGCAATCCTGAGAGGAACGAAGCAGAAGCCCACTATATCTGACAATTAACTTCGACATAGCAACTAATAATCAGGTGACAGATTAGTACACATAGTACAAAGCTACGAGACAAGGCGAATACTCACAGGTCTGGGACAAGGAAGAGCGTTCTTCTGTCCCTGTCGAATTTGCTTTCCAACCAAAACCACCCTTTCCTCCAAAACCTGAGTACAGATCTCTTCATTGGCAGAACGCTCTAGCTCTCTGATTGTGATGAATTCGAAAGACGCTTTGCACAGCGGGCACGTGGATTGTTTGGATGTCTACAGCCAGGGTCACACAAAAGCAAAACATTCAATACTCAAGCTCAGAAAGCTTAGGCAACACCTTTCGGCATCAGTACGATAAAAATTTGATTGATCGAACGCCTTACTGCTTCGTCGGCCCATTTTTTTATGCATGGATAGCAAAATCGGTGCCCGCATTCCAGAAGTCCTTCCGTAGTTGGCTTTGTTTCACTGTGACAAATAACGCAAGCAATATCATCGCTTGGTGATGCAGAAATCGACGCTTCTTGGTCTAATTTATCGGCACATTCCGTCTTAGCACACGCGTAACGCCCCACTCGGTAACTATTTCCAATAAGCGCCGAGTGAATCCTTCGGGTTGAACACTGGGAGCTTGGTCCTCGTAGGCAGCAACTACAAGTTCTGCTCGTGCTTCCAGCTCTTTCGTCTCCACATGTCAATTTCCCAGATGCTATGGGCGGGGATGCATTCCTCAACCTTTCATACTTCTCATTTAGACCCCCTGACGGGGCTTCATTCATCAACCTTCGATACTTTTCGCTAAGACCACCTGACGGAGCTTCCACTTCTTTCCTCTTTTCCAGGCGAATCTGGGTGTAGTCAGCCTTGAAATCCTTATATCTTCTTGGGCCAGATTCTGATGTAATGGGAAGGCATGAGTGCGTCGCCTGATGTCCAACCTCATCAGGATAGCATCTGGAATTGTACGCTTCTCTCTCCTGATGTCTCATTCCGTTTGATTGGTCCATGGAGGAACAACACACAGATTCAGAGACACTAGCAACCCGTTCTGTCATGAAATTCACTGGTGCCTGGTTCAATAAAAAATCTGGCTGGTCCCCATCTTTAGTTGTTCCAACAGCAGCTATTACATTCACATCACATTCTTGCTCTTCGTCCAAGTTAGTAACACCCGAGAATCCAGCCTGTTCTCTTCCAGCTGAAGAGTTCCGGGGCGAAACATCTGAGTCGGCAAAAACAGATGAGCTGGAAAGGAAGATTGGACTCCATCCTGTCTCTCTATGATGTGATGATCTAAGATGATGAGCTGAGAGGCCATCATCCCTCGCAGAAGCTACTGTACTTCTACAAGAACTGGTTTCCAGCTGAGAGGTTGTCTCACTCAACTTTATGTTCGACTCCGCGATTTGTGAAGCTCTACCAATACGCGTTTGAACCATGCTGTCATCCCAGCTCAGGGGCGCTTCTTCTTCTCCACTGCAACATCTCAACAGAACATCACAAAAATCAGTCGGTTATTTGATATTGCGATGATCGCTGAAGTTCATACTTCTCTGATGGACTCATGGAAAACAACTCCGCTAATTGCAGTTCATGCACTAATTTCAATTTCCTGGAATCCGATCTATACTAGCTACACCCTCGGTGGTCCTTGAGACATATTTGATGTAATACTTATGATCAATCCTATACGCATAATCCTCCGATACAAGCATGCAAAGTTGGAAAAGCAACCACGTTCTCGGTTGTCGTCCATATAGCCTCATACATCCTTATCTATCATCTGTCACTGAAAAATATGCCAAAAATACTTGTGTTTCTTCTCAGAGTCTAAGACCGGACTTACACCGTCAGCAGGACAAACAAACTTATAATTACCTTTTGTTGATATATTGATCTTCAGGAAGTAGAACACCGGCCTTCACACAGTCCTCAAACCAGCGATGACTGATGATCTTCTTATTCAGCTTCTTTGCCAGTTCAAACTTAGGTCCTTTAAATTTCCAGCATACCTGCAATTATGAAACCATTCCAATTCAGCCACGAGATTGTATCCAAACTGAACGACAATTAAATCGCAACGGAGTAAGAAGATTTGAGATGAAAAAGGAAAAGTCTTCTCACCACATGAGTGTTACAGTTGCTGAGACTTCCCGTGTTTGAGGCGCCGGCATGAACGATCAGCTTCACAAGTTTCTCTCGAGTGACAGAGTTATACCCAGAAACGGTGACAATGACAGTCTCCATGCCTGGAACTTGACCGTTATCATGACTGCCGGAAATGGCATGTGAAGGTCCTGATGACTTCGTCAAAGATTCTGCTGAACGAATGGTTTTCCTGTGAGGTGAAGTTAGATCCACAAAGTCTACTCGATGGAGAAGATTCATTCTCTACTTAGGTATCCGGACATTCAGGGGTCATGCTTCGGAAAAGTGGAGGCTGCTCCCCGCAAAGCCCAAAGAACTGCAGTCGTACTGATACTTTTTCACCCAGTTTGGAAAAATGTAGATACGTGTTTTTAAACTCCTTGCGAGACAGAATCCCGAATTATTGATCTCTTACGTTCAAAGCGGTGACGGGGTTACTCCAGCATCGTCTGAGCTCCTCACAATCATCTTGATTGGGACAGGCACACTGCTGTCACATCAGCTCCCACATATTTACAGTTACCTCATTGGATATCACAGCTTTCAGTCCTTGTAAAGCATTACGGAGGTCATCCTACTCCAAAACTCTAGTCATACTCTTAACTACATTCGTCAAATATAAAACTAATCTCGAGGACTGTATTAACCGAACAATTCTAGTTTGATAATGTGGAGAGTACATGGAAAGGAATTCATGATAGTCTTGGATTTCAGTGTAGCCAAAATAACACGCGCTATATGCAATTATTAAAGCTCGGTCAAATTTCGAGTGACAGTAAGCAGACTGAGATACTATAACAATGAATAGCATAAGACTCGAACTAAGCCTCACTGTGCATATGCTGCATTCCAAGCTTCTAAGAAGAACGAAAGAGGAAGTGTCGGAACCAGTCAGCATAGTTTGTTCCACAGCCTGTATTGGACAGCTTCATTGACCTCGATTCTAGTAGTGCGAATCAGAATACATGTATGAAAAAACCTTGAAGTCAAAAGGCAGGCAGTAAGTTTAAGTTCCAAGTGAATACAACGAACGGCGTTTCGAGGAACTTACCAGCACGGATACAGATAGTATGGGAGAATCTGTGCTTGCTCATTTGGTATAATATAATATGGAATCGATGCCACGCTCAGTTACGTGTACCTAAAGCAAGAGTAAATATGATACGGTTGGTTCCCACAAGATATCAAGCACTAAGGCATGTACAAAACACAGAGATGGGTCAAAATAGTTTTCGTGAAATCATAAAACATTTGAAGTTACCTTACGCTCATTGCAACCTGGACAATCCTCAACACAAAAACCATATCATTATCATTATATGGGGTGCTTAAGATGGTAATAGTATCACTCACGGCATTCGCAACAATGCTTCGCATATCAGCACACGGTTAAACCAATCCGAACCCGTCTGAAATCGTCTAAAATCAGAGCTGCAAATTTGAGCGTAAGTCTGTCACAAGATCGCGGAGTAACCAATTGCGTTCCAGACCAGAGTTGTCGTTTCGGAAGTACCGATATAAGGAAATCCAAGGCATCTGAAAGTACTTACTTAGTGTAGTAGAATTCAAACCTCACAAGTTGAAAGTCCCACGTCCGCCCGGCATTGACGTCACGAGCTCAACACAGGCTACCTCCGAAGAAATCGCTTGGAAAACTCAAGTGATTTCGCTACCCAAAACATGCTCTTCAATTACTTTTCACTTTCTGAACAATTTCAAAAAGCAGATTAGAAAGCAGCTGGCAAGCAACTCAATTCTTTCACATGTGTCGAACAGATTTTCCACAAGTTTTCAATCAGACGTCACAACGAAATACTCGCAAGCTAGAAACGATGAAGACGCTCTCCATCCATGACCCGCGACGTTCTACAAAGATCCATGGACCGAAGTGCAGAAATTCACAACATACACTTGAATTCGAAATACATAACTCGCAATCTCCTCTTTGGAGAAAGACCAAAGCACTCTCGGAATTCGATCGGAATTCAAATAATTCAAAAACACGCCAGCGGCACAAACGAAGGAAATAGTTTCGTAAACCCACCACCACCAAACACTGACAGAAACGGCAATGGCAGGCCCGTGGTTACGTCTGTGGCACACGGAGCTCCACTCGGAGCGTGAAGGAAGCCGCAGATTGCGAACTCTATCCAACCTCGAGCTGGTCGCATGCCTCGATCTTTAATCACTCGACCGATTTGAAAATTCAAGCATCGAAGAGCGTCTAGGGATTTGCACGTCTGGTATCCAGGATCAGACCGCAGATTGGAGATCGGAGAACTGTAGTGCCAGGTTCTGTTGGCAGAGATCGACGAATCTGCAGAGGGGCCTCTTGGATTCGGACTTCGGAGCGTCTGCGTCGCATGAAGCGGAGTTATTTCGCGCCGCGAGTCAGAGAATTTGAATTCCTGTCTCCCCATGTTCTCGTGTCTTTGTCCATTCTGTACAAGAACATTGTCTCTTTCTGCCATGTGGCAAAAAGAGACAATGTATCACTCGCATCTTGAATCAACACTTTTTACAACATGAAGATTAGTATTTCGATAACACTATTATCAAATTATACTTGAGTATATCTTCGGCTCAGGTTTTTATACACAAAATTTAGTTTATTGAATGAAGAATTTGATATTTCATCTACTTCAAATTTTGGGTCATTTATTTTAGCTTTATTCATATTCTAAGTAATATAATCTATTTCATTAATATAAATGATAATATTAGAATAATTACATCTTTGATGATTGTTAGAAACGATTTTTAGAAAAATGATTCGAAATTTTATTTATGATTGCCATGTAATTGTGGAACATTTTTTCTAAATGGATGGTTATGTATTAGTTTCTTCAGAATTCAAGTTAAATATAATAAATATTAAATTATTAATGGTAACTATCCGATTTGTTACATCATAACAATCGATATTTGATCAGATTTTAGTCTTTTTCATTGATTAACAATATACTTTCAATACACTCATTTCATAGATAATTCTAGCATAGAGATTAACATTGCAAAAAAAATTTGGTAATATATCATATGTTTGAATAATACATCTCGGTATCATGACTTATTGAATGGAAATTTTATAATCTTTTATACCATTTAGTGTATGCTTATGATTCGCGCAGATTGGCGCAGCCACTCGTGCGATTCGTTCGTTGCAGTGGGCAGTGGCGGATGGGGAGTAAGCGGGATAAATCAAAAGCGTATGCTTATGATACAAATTTACATCCAACTATATGCAATGAAAAAAACCAAATCTTTGATTCGATTAACTATGATTTGATTTGAACGTGTATTTTTAGATATCAAAACATTTTAAAACATTATTATTGATCAACACACAAAATTTTGTTACACTATGACTCACATATGTAAATGTATTCATGAGATTTCAAAAATTAATGTGTATGAATTTATTTTTTCTTTTAAAAGCTGATGATTTCATATATTTGCAAAGCATGTACATCTACGTGAAATTTTAATGTGTAAAATATTGAAATTTGAACGTTTAAGATATATACTTTAAAATATATCTTAAACTCTAAAATCTTGATAAACACAATGTATGATTTGTCAAGCAATGACAAGATAAGATATGAGAGATCATACAAGCTTGCTTGAATATTGAATGATTGTATTAGTTGACGGAGTATATGATATATATTTTGGTGATTTTAGTTTTGAAGATGATTTTTTATATATACAATCAAAGATTATTGAAGATGTACTCATCAGTACTACACACATGTTTAATCATTTTGGACATTATATATGTTGTGGATGCATTGCATGTATACAAAATATACATCACAATATATACTGATGTTAGATTATAACATCTCAATTCTTGATTCTAGTCTCATATATACATGACTAGAGTGATGCACAATCTATCTGGAAAAATATTATGAGTTATTTATGTTGATGTTATTTATATTCTTTTATGTGTAATTGGATAATAGTTGTCACATGACAACTATTATCCACTTACTTATATTATCATTTCATGGATAAATAAAAAGCATATAAGCATTAAAAAAGAGTACTTCCAATAATGAAGATAGTGCTTTTTGCTCTTGAGGTAGCAATATGAGTTACATTGTACTCAAGAAACCTACAAATCACATGGTGCTATTTGCTATTCAGGTAGCAATATGACTTACATTCTCATCAATATACCTACAATCACGGTGTTAGATTGTATGATAACTATGATGAATGCGTGGAATTGTTCAATTACAATGCTTTTACCTTATGATTAGTTTTGGAATAAATCTTTACCATCATTTTCATCATTGATCCGATTAAAGGTTGACAATTCAGATATAGAAAATTTTATTACGTTGATGTAAGATTATTTATAGAGTGTAATGTTTAATGTGATCGTACTTTATGTTATGATATGATGCAATAGTGGATGACAATATTTAAATCATATGCTGCCCGTGCAATATTGAGATGGTATGTTGATACCATCTCAATGTATGAAATGAACACATACATAACATAAGTATGTTACAATCTACGTGTTGAAATAGTCCTTTAGTCTCATAACTTGCAAACTAAATCCATACATAATAAAAAATCTATATGCAAAAATGTTCAATTCTTCATTTGAATACGAAACATAATGAAATCCTAAACATTCACATACAGTACTATTGGATGAATATTTGTCAATAGAAACATATTATTTTTGTGGTAACACTCGAATATTTTATTTATGATTCTAAGACTACAATTTTTTTTAAAATATATATAAACAACCATCCACACATTTACTGTTGGTGTTATATAAAACCCGTCATGAGAACAATCATTTGAAAATATATACACTTCTACAATCAATTCACACACAAAACATGGAAAATAATTGGATCCAAAAAAAATCGATTCTTTCCTACATGTGCTGATTTACATGAGGATTTTACCGATATCTTCTGATGCACGTGCAGTTTTAGGAAGAACTACATGTGAAAATATTGCTAGTAGAGGGAAGATTGCTACCGGATCTAACTTCATCTCACACATACATATACTTACAAAGTCAGTAGTCTTACATGTCGGGATTTCGTTTCATAAAAACCAAATGTGCGTTTCTTATAAAAATGCTTGAAATGTCTTGCAATTCACAATCATTTGCGTATGCATTTATTTATTATGTTTGTTCTCTACGTGGTGGTTGGACCTAGCGATTTTCATCCGGTGTATGCTCTTTCTAATTTGTTAAGTTTGTATCTATTTGATTTCATTTCCAAATGAATAAGTGATGACCTTTTGGGGCAAGTCAAGAGCTTCACTATCAGTTACGATCCATTTTTAGTCTATGATGAAACACAAAACAGCATTTGCACATATGAGGATCATGTTCTTCCCATAGTTAATGTAGGTTGATTTCTTTTACTATTAAGATACAGGATTTAATACACCTTTCTCAGTCATATGTACGCTGGGTACAAAAATGTAACATATTATTCAATGATTCAAGTGTCAAATATGAGACATGATGCTTATGCTAAGTGAGGACCATGAGTACTAGAACATGTTTTCACGAAGGAGACATGAGTCAGTGTCGACTTCATGCTTTGAGTGGTGGATGGCAAATCGGGAGCGTGATGTGCAGCTGCTGCTTGGATTTGTCGAACTTCGCTTGACCTTTCTCTTCGTCGACCTTGTATCTTAAATGGAGCTGCTTTTCACAACGGAGCAGTGAATTAGAGTTGGATCGGTCGGCGGGTCTTCCCCAGGTTTCTAAGGAGATTTGGATGAATGGCTGCGAAGGAGTTGATCTTCCTTGAAATTTACCTGCAGGATGTACCTTCCTGGAACCGCTACACGGACGTTTTGCTCCGTGACCTCCAACTCGATGTCCTGCATTGTCATCTGCAGTTTACAGACATCGTCTTCAGTGATCATTCAATTCAATGGAGCAACGTAATTTACGCCGAAAAATAAATGACTGGTTTTGAGTGGAGTTTGAGGTTTGCTAATCTGCGAGGATAGGTTTTCAGTGGAAGAAGGAAAATTCACATTACGTTCAAGAAGACAAGGATTAAGGTACATCTGGCTACGACAGAAGCTGGAGATTTACCACTTTCGGAAGTTCTACTCGCAAGATGATGAAGGTACATCTGGCTACGACAGAAGCTGGAGATTTACCACTTTCGGAAGTTCTACTCGCAAGATGATGTCTGTAGGCTGTTCGTGCTCAGTCGGTAAGTTGGCATTGTCATCCCTTCATTGTTAAGAGGACAACCGTGATGTGAGAACAAGGGAAGTATGAAGTATGTGTACTTGTAAGTATCCATGATTCAGTGACTGCGCACATCCTGGATCTCATACTCGACCAACAAAGGGGAGCTCCTCCATAGAAAAGGAACCATGCAAGAGTTGTGCATTTTGTTTCCTTAAAAACTGCAGTATACACGGTACTCTACTTACATTTCTGTCATTGAGCCATACACTACTAATAATTAGCCAAGGATTTAGAAATCTTTAACAAATTGGTAGTTTGGTGAAGCCACTGTGGGATATATCTATCCAAGCAATGGAACAGTCGAGTTAGCCTGGTGTATGCTAGGGCAAAGTGGCTGTAGGAAAGTGTTGATGTCCATTCCAATTGTCATCGGAAAGTAGCTCACGAACCAAAACTTTGTGAAGTTTAGATGATTTCTGTAAACCACCTCAAACTTTGGTTCAACCTCGCCGCTCGAATTCGGACATTCTTTATTGTCGGCAACCGGTGTCATTGTCGCACTTCTGGACTCTGCAACAGGTCTCGATTTCTTCTCTGATTTTGGCTTCTTTGTGACTGGATCAGGCACCCTAACACCTGAGAACTTGCTCTAGTTTTAGGGTTCTGTCTCTTGTCAGTACGTCGATGAAGCACATTAGCAGATAATTAATAAGTCAAATGCTGCTGCTGGCAATTGTATGTGACTGCAGGCCTTTCCATATTTTTGCAATTCTTATTTCCACTTGGCCCCGTTAATTTGGAACAAAGTTCATAGAGGTGGAAAGGGCATTGAGTTGAGTATCAGGTGCTGTTAACTGTGTGTGCTGCCACTACCTGCTCGTAGTTGGGGATGACTCGCGGGAGATTTATAGGGCCCCTTCGGTATCGTAAGCATCTTGGGTTCTTTATTCGGGCCCTTGTACGTTAGCTTGGGGAGGCTGAAATCTGCGACATGGACATTAATTTGTCGTAAGCTACCTTAGCATAAAGCCCTCACGGTGTCTCATCGCTTCTTAAGTATTTACGTCAAATGCTGCACTCACAAAATCAGTGGACAAACTCTTCAGCCTGTGAATATTGACCACGAACCTCGAGAGAGCTGTACAGCACGTTGTGTTTGGACAGCATCCACGGCAGTTTCAACCAGAAAATTCTTGAAACGCTTATCCATCCGGGCCATGTGGTGAGTTTCGGTAGCGACAACGAAGTCATGTACTTCACAAGCAGCTCCTCCTGCATGTGAACGAGGCGAACATCGTTTGTGACTCAATTCACCTATCAGAACATACTCTTCTTCTTAGTGAAATATTTCTAACTAATAACGTCAATCCAGAGGATAATTAGTTCGTTATCTGGCTGCACGTGTGCTCAAACCTTCAAATGGAGTGGTTGGCAAAGTGAGTACTTTTATCGACGTCAGTTTGAGCAGGGCCCAAAGAGTAGGGGATCTCCCATGCTGTACCGCTTTTATCCTTAGCTTCTGTGCCTTTGGGCTTGGCAATCTTGTCTGAGTAGCAAATGTTGATGAACACCTGCCATGTTCATGTAACGATTTGGATATTTCACAACTCCTCTTTGAAAGCTTTAAGCAAATGGCGACGTATACTTCCAGCTTAAGTTAAAGAATCACGAAGTTACTTCTTACAAGAATATTTACGTCCGTGTTGTCGTTGAACACGGATTGTATTATATACTAAGTTCATTAAATTTGCCACTTATGCCCTGTGTGCGGTCTGGGCAAACCTTTGCCCTGGCACAGACCTTAGCACCAGTTTTCTCGTTCTTTGTCTTGGCGCAAAATGCAGTGCTAGGGATCAGGAGCTCCTTATCCTCTGGAAACCCTGGAACTTTCTCTCCTCTGTTCTCTGCCTCTCGCAGAGCATCCTCCATCTCCTGATCAAAATCCGATGACAGATGTTGGCATAGTCCAGAATTAGCTCTACTACCCTCTTGGCATGAAGGACATCAGACTACCGTGGGCACAATTATGTGACTTAACAGCGAAGTCTTTCACTTCCTCACCTTTCTGTTGTTGGGATCGGACATCTCCTTGGCATAATCGGCAAAAAGTTCCATAAACTTAGGGTCCTTCATCATATGAGTCATATTCTTCACTTCCTGCATCATGTGAAACACGTTCAAGTTAGTCGAATGATTGAAGTCCACTTCATCCACACTGTTCGTCGTACTAGCTGTGAAAGAAGGGTCAAATCAGCTGGCTTAGAAGACCCGAGAGGCCCACAGGCTCAAGAAAGGATCGCCGTAGTAGACTTCAAGACTTGAAGACGGAGGTGGGGAGAAGCTGCAACCAGACACAAGGAGAGAGTATGCACATACGCCATATCTCCAGCATCTCACCATCTTATACTGACCAGAGGCTAAGTTCAAATGTGACAGTGCATTTGCTAAAGAAAAGGAATTATGTGATGTAGATCTTAAAATCACGAAGTCCATTATGACGGGCTCAGGCTACTGGAATCAGAAGCCGCTCCTTGTTTGAATGTGTGATCGATTTACAAGCAAAGCACATCCTTCAGAGCTTGCCAGAAGGGATCTTTGCATCATCAGTTTGGGGCACCTGTGCTCTAATGTCGTGTGAAGCTGCGGAGGTGCACTCACCTCGGGTGTCATGTTGATCTTGTCGAAAGCCTCTGCAGTTGCCATTGTTCTCCACTTTCTTCGGACTTCGGGCCTGATCTTCGGAAGTGACAAATCTTTATCAGAACTCAAACTATTTCTAGGTCATGGGATCGTTGATCAACACATTTCCACAGTTTGCGACAAGGAGCAGCCCTTCCGTCCGCTTCACAGCAGTGTGAGAATGGTCTCCGTCAAATCCTCAATACAGTTCTGCAGCTGCCTGACTGCAATTCGGCATCCAGAGGCCCCCGTGCTCTTGGCTGTCTAGAAAACCTCTAACGGACAGCAGTTACAAACTCAAAGCTCATCCTCATCAACATGGACCTGATCCTATACATTGAAGATCACATTTTGATCTCAAATCAGCAGCAGGGTCTCTAATTTGGTGTCGAAATTTCAAACAAGTGTCGCACAAAACAGAGAAATTGCCAAATCTGACGCTGGATTCTTATTTGCAGGTTTACTCGAAAACAAGGGGACGAGTGGCAGCTCAGGATTGGCTGCAGATTCGGGTTTGTGCGCAGAGTTGTCGTCGGATCGCAGTCGGTTCAGAGCCTTTCACTCGTTCTGGATTTCAACCGCAGTCGAACCTGGCTTTGTGAAATAAGCAAGTCGGGCCACCAATTTGTCACCCTTCTGTTGGAATATATTTTGTGTGTGGATATTACTGCTGATACCGAGAGTCAATGACTGAAACTGAACCTTTTCTCATCGGTTCTCACAATCTTTTTCCTTTTCATTATCAGGAAAATTGGTTGAATGAATGTCAACAGCTCTTATAAACTCTAGAAAGAAATGATAGAATTTACAAGACTAAGCATTTAACAATAAATAGATAAATAAATAACATATTAATGCATAATAAATCCAAATTTTCCATAATGAAGTCGACTTCCTTATTAAATGTTGCGATATAGCGATCTCTATGACCGCGATAAGTACAGGGAATCTCTAAATATGCATTTGAATCATAAATTCATCGCAATTGCAATTTTCTATACTTCCATTTGAACTATAATGAGGGTTTCTTTTACTACGGAGTCGATTCCGTTCGTTCTAATGAACCCTTTTTCAAACACTCATAAATGAATGTACGAAATTTGAGTGGCTAGATTTTGAAAAGTCTACTAATTATCTTGTCAACAGGTGATCATCATACTGTATGATGCTGGCAGAATTTAAAAGAGGTTAAGAGTACCTGAGTACCTCTGTGATGGTTTGTTTTTCCAAAAGTTGAGAGTGATGCACACATCTAACTTATATCCAATTTAAAAATAGTTGTTAAATAAATTGAACACTTTATGTTTGTAACATAAAGTGTTAAATAATTAAATTTTTTAACTAAGTACACATGATCTATTTTATTATATTTTGGGTTCAGATATTCTATTCTAAATTATTACAAATGTGACTTTTTTTTTTGTGTGATTCCATTCTTTTGCTTCCACTGCTTTATTTCCATTATAATCTAGATAGAAAATTATAAAAGATCGATGAAAAAAGTATGAATGTTTAGATAGTTAGCCATTACTCTTTGGGATGTTAGTGTGTTATTATTTTGCATGTGGGAGAAGATACATAATTTAATACCTTCTATCACTATACTAATTAAGATATTAGTGATGTTTTAAATCATCTCTCGTAGCTCAATCTCTTTATCTTGCACAGATCAAGATCACATGAGAAAGATGGACAACCATACAGATTACACTTAGAAAACTTTGAATGATCATATACACATCTATCACTTCGGGATGAGATTACATATGTTTATCTAGGAGTTTACAATAACCAAAGTGAGTAAAATATTTTATGTTGATCGCGTCTCATTTGATTGTTTAATATAAAATGATTAACATCTAGTCACCTTTTATTATGCTTAACTTAGAAGCCAAGTTTCCAGGTTTTCATAAGTTTAGTCGTGTGCTTCATGATGGGATTGCACATAATTTCGACTTATACCTTGATGCCTTGACTTGATTTTTGCTCTCCTTGTGTCTATGATGATGTCTTCATCATAATAAGATGTGTTGAACATTTGGAGTTAGTACGTGAGAATTGCAAATTTTGAGTAGAGTGTTGGAAGGTTGTACATGATATGATGATTGCTAGATCATTATTTATTGGTAATCTTTGGGGTTTTCTTTTAAGTACAAAAATTAGTATGGATTTTAGAAAATTGTGAATATTGAAATTAGGCTACATTTCAATAACATTAAGTATAGAATCACATAATAACTAGATACTTGCAATAAAGTTAAATTTGAAATATCTTATTATGTCATGATGACAAAATCTTATATGACATGATATTTTGTCACTTATATTTTGTTAATAACTTTTACACATATTCAAATCCAAGAACTAAGATCAAAGAGAGTGTTGAAAGGTAATTCTTGTGTGATGTTTGATCTTCCTAAATCTGTTGTGTATATTCAAGATAACATATGCTCACTAGCAATTATTCGAATAGTTTTGGATTGCATAAGCTGGTTGAAATTTGAGAGTGAATATGAAACTTTATGCTGAAGCTATAAAAATTTCTCATATATTCTTTTGTCAATAGCAATAGATTGAAAATGCAAACCAATTTTTCCACTAAAAGAATGTGAAAAAAATTCATGTTTGCATGTAATGAAAAACAAGAAGATGAACAGTGTTCTTACTAAGCTCTTGGCTAAATCATTTCATGTTCATAGCACAAATTTGGCTCAAAACTTTTCATATTGAAAAAAAATGTGAACACAATCCATGTCATTCTACTTAAGTTTGTTGATCATAATCTACTTGTTACTGCCATGGCTAACAAGTACATTCTCAAAGAATGGAGTATATGAATAAAAACTAATCTTACACCTCTACAAATCAAAGCAAGAAGAGAGAAGCTTGCAATGATCAAAGAAGCTGAAGAAACAGGTTTTATTGCTTCTTTACGCGATGATCAAGCAATTATTACCCAAAGAAAAAGAAAATCATCAACCTAGCAATTCAAAAAGTTGATAGTGTTGATGTGAAATATACAAGGTCATTCAACAACAACAAAGTATGTGAGTGCTCTTTGAATTTAGAAGTTGAAGTACATCACTTGGAAAGATTTAGAGAAATGAAAGCAATCACATTACAGATATCTAAAAGTTTACTTTGATGGTATTGACTTAGAACTAAAGATGAACAGACAATGAGCAGGAAGGTATCATGAAAACATCAATACTTTTATCAAGTTCTACCTTTCGTATATCTTAAAGATCAACATATCAAGTGCCAATATCATTGGCTATGTCTTGGTTTGATAGAATATTTTTTGTGAGTATTTGACAATTTTTTGTTATGCATCATTATACATGATTATTTATTCAACATTCACTTGCAATTAAAGTCAATTGTTTCATTGACTCATTGATGATGTTCTCAAATCAGAGTAGATTTGAAGTCTTTCTAATAAGTAATTTTAATGCTTGCATATCTTACGCTCAATATAGTGAGCTTGATTTTTATTGCTTAACAACTTTCTTATTTTTAACTTTGATTTCATAATCTCATTTTGAATCAGATTAGCCATCTTTTTTGTGTACTCTTTCATTATCAAAGTCAATTAATCTCTCTACATGTCAATCTGTTTACTCCAAGTTTTGTTTAGATCTTGGTAAAGCAAATTTAAAGTGTATATGTTCATTTACAAGATCTTTTGATGTGCATTATATGGAGCACAAATTCACACACATCAAGTTTGCAAATAAGTGAATTGCTCAAATTCATTGCATCTAAGTTTGTTTTGCGGCATAGAGACAAACGTGCTAGAAGACTAGCTTGTAATGGATGGTTTGACTTTGATTGCAAACAAGTAAATGACAAGTAATTGATAAATCTTTGAATCTTCAAAGTCAATTTATTACAATGAGGCTTTACAAAGATTTAATGAAGTCTAAGAAAAGAGCTTTCTTGCGACGGAAGCCAAAATCTTTGACAAGGAAACTTCTAGAGTATACCAAATCATATTGGAAATGAGTAGTAGTAACGTCTTCAAAACCTATTTTTGATCTAAAATCTTTGATTTTTACAAAAAGATTATTAATTTATTCTCCGACATGTATGCCACATTGTGAAGAATTACATGGCTATTTTTGTAATAAGAGTTAATGAATCAGTTCAAAAGATTAGCAAATGATAATGTGAAAATTTGAATGATATTTCTATCAAAATTTTCAAGTGAGAAGGAGATTGTATTAGATCAATCCTCATCAAAATATTGTAAAATGCAATTATCTATGGTTTTACTTCAACCTAGTACATACAAAAGATTGTTTTTTTCTAAAAATCCTAATGGAAAAAAAAGCACTTGTGATAATTTATTGCACTATCATGAAGTATAATGTTTTTGCCAAGTTATTTAGAAAATTGATGGAGTCAAAGTTAAGGACATGTGCAATTTTTTTTCAAAAAAGAACAAGAATTAAAACTGATTTTTAACCTACATACAACATCATTAAACATATTTTAGTCTTGTGTGTTTTATAGAGAAATCTAAGCTCAATTGAAAAAGCTTTGTTTTCCAACTTCATTGATTTAAAAAAAAACTTTGCACAACGTAGTTCATAAGTTCTTATGGGAAAGACTGCAAGCCATTAGAGTAACATCAAAGCCTCGCAGTTGTAGCCATGTTATAACATTATGTCCATACCAATATCAATGATTTTCAAACTGAGTAAATCTTGAATATCATGAGAATCATTCAAGGTTGTACACTCTATTCTATTCTATTTGGATTTTTCATAGATTAGATTAAAAAGTGGTTGAACGAATGTGATAATGATTGTGTCAAGCTTGAGTACTTTGTCATTAAAGTTATACTTTATGCAAATGATATTATAATACTAACACGTGATGACAATAGTTTACGAAAATAATTAGACTCTTTCGCAAGTTTCAATATGTAGAGTTTAGTATGGAGAAGTCTAAAATCCTTGTAGCAAGCATTAGATTCAAGTTTTACTTTTTTAAAAAAATATTCCCAATTAGAACAAGCAAACGGTTACAAACGTCTAGTCGTAGTTTCTCTAATGACAATAGATGGACAATTTGAGTATAAAAAAGAGTAAAAGCGAGTTACAAAGCTCTACAATAATTGTTATATCACATGTAGAAGAACTCATCTAGTATCTTGTAGAAAATTCTTATTTAAGAGTTTAGTGTTATAGGTGGTTTTAAATGGAACCCAAATGTGAGGTCTTGATTGTGAGAAGATAGGTGGGAAGCACGTGAAGATGGTGCAAAAGATCTTTCTATAGGAAGAATTGGGTGTAAAAACCAAACTTCATATGCTATTCTCATGTTGAAAACATGATATCTTCATCTAGAATATGAATCTTTTATATCATTTACATCAGCTAATCATCCATAGTATGATTATCAGATGTGATGATTTGGTCTTCAAAGTGAAATGTGACCAAATCCAATTGAGATTTGCAACTGATGGAACTTGTGGAAGCATCTGAATTGATATTAACATAGAGTCAGTACGGACTCCCAATTACATTTTACATGAGACTTGCCTTGTCAAGGGTTTACCACGAGAGATGGAGATGTATTCTTTGAAATAGTGTACCATAATATGCAATTTGATATAATCTTCTCTAGTATTCTTATTAATCCTTCTAACTAATTCAGGAGTCATCATCCAAATGCATTCCAATCATGAGAAAGGTATCATAATTGTAATTGGACATAATCGTATCATTTAAAAGAAGAAGATAGAACTTTTGCTACGAAATGTATGTCGGACAAAACAAAGGATAACAAACACTGTCAAAAGTTGCGCAGGTAATTGAAGGGACTGCTAGAAGCGCAATCGAATAACAAAATGCTGACGGCTGATTAGCGAACTTGCATACACAGAAAGTGCCAAAGCTGGCTACCAATTGGCCGATTTTCTTAGAATCAGCTTTTCGGTCCCGGTCGTGGAAGCGATATCCTGTTTCCATGCACAATGGTGTACGTGAGTGGTCTTGCATTTCCTTTTCGCTGAATACGTCGATAAATCACCGAGGCCTGTTGAAAAATAGCGTTGTGAGCGTGGGAATTCGATCTTGAAGATGGGATGTAATCTATCTACCGGTTGCAATGCTGGACGTTGCAAAGGCCGTCGCCACGTCTCCAAGCCATGAAAGCCAGCAATCTGATCGAGTTGAGGGCGTCTGTGTGACGGCAAGATGGATGGGAGATCGCTTGGAAGCATAAGACGTGCGAGTTCGTATTACCTGGCTTGCATAAAACCAACGCTTTGCCAGGACACGGACACGCACAGTGAAGGCTAATTGCAGCTTGCTATTTGTGAGGTGAATTCCTCATGCAGAGGTCTGAAATTCTCTCAAGGTGAATGAAATCTCGAGACAGTGTGAGAGATCTGTGGTACTCTGGCAGTGATCTTGAGAGAGTATTGGGACCATGCTGCGAGAGTATTCGAATGCTGCATTCGAATGTAAGAAGAGGCGTTTGGTAAACAGCGAAAGCATGTGCATCATCTAATGGATTGGTAGATCACACTGAGAAGATCTAACTTGATCTACTACTATACGATGAAAGCCTACGTATCACTACTACTTGTAGGAAGAATCTCCTTATTTTTGGTCTGAAAAACATACGCAGTAGGTTCCATAATCAACGGCCTCTTCTGACCAGCTCAAAATTTCGCCAAATTATCTGCATGTCATATCAATTACGAATTTTCGTCACTTGTTAGACCAAAAATTTACGAATATAGACAACTTTTCAGTCAAGTTCCAAAGTCCAAACCTTGAGGACTCGTGTTAAATAACGAAGTGTATAACAAATCGATCAAGTGTTGCACTTTCTTATGCCTCTGATGTTGGTTGGCATATGCCAGTAGATACCCACTATGTATACTGCACTCCCCAGTTTTCATATCATGTTCTACATGATGGTCTAATGAGGAATATTGAGAGCCTTCGTTTTGAACCAAAAATCTGTAACAGACGGGCAAGTAGATGTTCACTTGAAAATAGAGATGGCTGAAAAATTCCTGATGTAAACATACTCTATCCTTGACTGTCATGATCATCAGTATTCTAGGGAAAGATGCTGCTACTGAAAATCCCACTTGGTATTACGATCCAGAGCTCTGTAAGCAAAATGAGATTCCAGATCCAGTAGTAACGTTTCGGGTCTGAAGGGAAATGGCTAAAGCTGTGAAGTAAAATATGTGCTCAATTCATGAATGTGATGTGACTTACCAGCAGTGCCTACCTTTATGAGGTTTAATACTAAACAGGTTTTGTTCCGTTTGTGTGATTGTCCTCAGATGTACTAGTCGCAGGTCAGAATTTTTGCAACTTCTTAAAAGTTCTCCCAGACACATTCGGCTGAGAGGCAGAATATCTTGATGAACTAGATGGTTGATTATGTGAATTTTGAATCAATGACCAGCAGGAAAAGTTGTGCTTCTTGGCAACGATCTGCTCAAAGCTGTAAACGTACATTAGTGTTTAGGAAGACTCATGCAACTTAACATCAAAGTTTTCATTTGATCATCCTGTTTAAAGATCTGTGCCAAGTTCAACACAATGTGCAGGAGATATTGAAACCGATAGATATCATTCAAAATGAATTGTCAGTCATACAAACAGAATCTGCCTGTTCTCGCTTTGAAAACTTGAGTGATGTAATCAAAGTCTGCTACTTTTAAGAATAGGCCTACTTGTTATTGTTTACCGACCAAAACGGTCCGATAGCTGTAAGTATTGAGGATGTGAACTCACAAAAGATTCTATATATAAGTACGCTCGATGAAACTAGTTTTCTCGGGACGCTGAACAGATGCTTTCTAAAGCATCTGTTTATGGTGGGGGGCTGTTTCGATGGGTCCACATGATAGCCGAAACCTGCAGGAGAATAATTAACTTCGCATGAGTAACTTCCACAGGCACTGCAAAAGCAGACAGGTAATGCTGGAAACAGTAGAAGTGATAACCGGGAAATTACTTACATGTCCGAGAATTGATGCCCATGGACTCGTGATCTACCGTCTAAGGGTAAGTTTTCACGAGCAGGAGTCAGTCTCCCGTTGGGTGCCCGTTTGTTGTGGCGCACTTTTACAAGTGTAGTCCATCCCTCGTTGCTGATCCGTTGGAATAGCCATTCACCTGGAGTGCTGATCCATTTCCATTGAGTACGATGTCCTCCCCTTTCGTAACCAATGGATAATCTTCGGTCACTGTGGCTTTCTTCGTGCCGGATGCTTTGATGTAAGATATAATGTCCTCCTTCGGCTCTTCTGGATGTTTTGCCTCCAACTCAAGGTCTGAAGTGGAAATATCCACATTCCCAGCGCTACATTCTGGTAGGACATGCGCTCCAAGCTTGTGTTGCGGTTGTACATTTGTTACTTCTTGTTCTACAGAAGATGGTTCCGAAACAGGTACTTCACTTGGTGATTCCACCTCAGCTTCCATTTCCACCATGAAGTCTGACTTCGCACTGTGTTCCCTCACCAGGTAGAGTTTGTAAAGACAGGATGGACATTCACAATCTTCTGTTCCCACTTCAAGTTCGGATCCTGAAGTATACAGCTCTTCTCCCGAGGTGCTCCTCAAAAGAATTTCTTTTTCTTTCGGCGACTCTCCAACAACAGGCACCACTGCCGGAATCAGTACCCCTTCACCTTCTGAGGATGTAGTAGTGATATCGACTGTCTTGGTGTGAACTTCCGGTTCAGCATTCTCCTTTGGCCCTGATGTCACTTCCTCATCTCCAGATTGGAGAGCTGGTCTGGATATGACCTCCTCATCGACAATTGCCTGCAGTAGAAGCGCTTCAATCTCCTTCTCCAGAATTGAACCTACTTCAACTTCCTCTGTTGTAGAGTCCACGCCTGGGGAACTCTCTTTCTCCTCATGAGTGTCTATTGCCTCCTGCACATTGGTAGAAGCGACAACAGGCAAAGGAATCTCCCTTGACAGTGAATTGTCCACCACAGCCTCTTCAATTTTAGTCTCCACAGCTGCGACCGCGGGTGCTTCCCTTGTGACATCCCCAACGATTTGAGAGGTCTCCTCCCCATCGGTTGTTTTCATGGCCTTCTCTGTGAGATCTTCGACAACGGCAGAGGTTTCCGCTACATCAGCTGCTTCATCCTTGACAATAGTAGAAGTCACCTCTTCATCAGCAGTGGAAGCACGGGCGTCCTCCTCATACTGAATGGCTTGAAGTTCCTTCATCTCAGAAAAAGAAGTCACCTCTTCTCCTGCAAGTAGAGTTTCTTCGGTGAGAATTGCTCCAGGTTGCTTCTCGTCTAGATCACCAGAGCCAAGGACCTCCCTCTCAGTAGGAATGCCTTCAGTCTCTCTCTCCTCAAGACTGGAAGTTACCTCCTCTTCTGCAGGATGAGCTTTTCCGCTGGAAATGGCTGCAGGTTCGCTGTCAGCAAGAGTAGAAGAGACCCCTTCATCTGCATGAGTAACAAAGTTATCCTCTACAGCATCAATCACTTCGGCTTCTTTCTCTGCAAGATTTGGAGTCACCTCACTTCCTGCACTGCTTGTTTCTTCGCTAGGAATGGCTGGATGTCCATCGCCGGCAAGAGTAGATATATCCTCTTTTACAGGAGTACCGATGACCTCCTCCTCAGCTTGTAGTCCCTTCACGGTATCTTCTACATGTGCAGGTAACACAAATTCTCGAGAAAGGGCTGGAGCGTCCGCTGTAGGCTCTTGTGCAGCCGGAAGAATGTCGTCGGTATCCTTCTCGTCGTGCTGTTCATCTGGAGTGGCTGGGGAAGCAATGACTTCGGGTTCCTTCTCCTCAGAAACTGAAGACACCTCGCTACCTGCCGCGGAAGATTCTTCTGGAGAAATGGCTGCTGGTTCGTCCTCGGGAAGTGCAGGAGTTTCCTTTTTCTCAGAGGGAGGAGCGAGTACTTCATCTGCTGTAAGATCTTTGTCTGCAGTAGAGGTGGTGACAGCTGCTTCCTTGGGTGAAGCTTCTTCCTTGATCTCCTCGCCTCCAGGAGTAGAATCGATTTCCTCTTGAGGAGGAATGATTTCCGGTTCCTTCTCTTCGAGAGTTGAAGTCACCTGGGTTCTTGGAAGAGGAGTCTCTTGGGCAGGAATTGATGCAGGTTCGTCTTCTGGAAGAGGAGATATCTCCTTTTCTTGCTGAGGAATTGAAGGGACCTCCTCCGCAGCCTCTGGTTCCTTCACGGTGTCTTCTACATGTGCAGGTACCAAAATTTCTTTGGAATGTGTTGTGTCGTCGGCAGTGTCATCAGTGTTAGTGTCATCAGCAGCTGCTTCGGTTGTGGGCGATGATGCAGGCTCTTCCTCCGCAGATTTCTCAAGAGTGTCATGAAGCTCCTTCTCTTGGGGAGTATCTGCAAGGTGCTCTTCTGCAGCCGCAAGAATATCGTCGGTGTTTGGAGCTTCTGCATCCTTCTCGTCGTGCTCTTCAGAAGGAGTAGCTGGGGAAGCAAGGACTTCGGGTTCCTTCTCCTCGTGAATGGAAGAGACCTCGCTTCCTGCAGCGGGCGATTCCTCTGGAGAAATGGCTGCTGATTCGTCCTCGGGAAGGTTAGAAATTTCCTTCTCCGCTGAAGGAGGAGTGAGTTCTTCATCTGCTGTAAGTTCTTTGTCTCCAGTAGCGGTGGTGACATCTGGTTCCTGGGGTGAAGAATCTTCCTTGATCTCCTCATCTCCAGGAGAAGAAGCTATATCCTCTTGAGAAGGAATGACTTTCGGTTCCTTCTCCTCGGGACTTGAAGTCACCTGGGTTCCTGGAAGAGGAGTCTCCTCGGTAGAAATGTCTGCAGGTTCGTCGTCTGCAAGAGGAGAAATATTCTTCTCTTGCTGAGGGATTGAAGGGACCTCCTCCGCAGCCTCTGGTTCCTGCACGGTGTCTTCTACATGTGCAGGTAGAATAATTTCTTTTGAAAGTGCCGTGTTGTCGGCAGTGTCATCAGTGTTAGTGTCATCCGCAGCTGCTTCTGTTGTGGGCGCCAATGCAGGCTCTTCTTCCGCAGATTTCTCAAGAGTATCATGAAGCACCTTGTCTTGGGGAGGATCTGCAGTAGGCTCATGTGCAGCCGGAAGAATCTCGTCCGTATCCTTCTCGTCTTGCTGATCAGCAGGAGTGGCTGGGGAAGCAATGTCTTCGGGTTCCTTCTCCTCAGAAACTGAAGGGACTTCGCTACCTGCCGCGGACGATTCTTCTGCAGAAATGGCTACTGGTTCGTCCTCGGGAAGTGCAGGAAATTCCGTTTCCTCAGAGGGAGTAGCGCGTACTTCATCTGCTGTCAGTTCTTTGTCTCCAGTAGAGGTGGTGACAGCTGCTTCCTTGGATGAAGCTTCGTCCTTGATCTCCTCGCCTGCAGGAGTGGAAGTGATATCCTCTTGAGGACGAATGACTTCCGGTTCCTTCTCGTCGGGAGATGAAGTCTTCTGGGTTCCTGGGAGAGGAGTCTCTTCGGCGGGAATTGCTGCAGGCTCGTTCTCTGAAAGAAGTGAAACCTCGTCCTCATGTTCAGGACTGCAGGGTACCTCGTCCGCTGCCTCTGGTCCCGTCACGCTATCTTCCATATGTGCAGGGAACACAATTTCTCTGGAAAGTGTTGTGACGTCGGCAGTTTCATCAGTTTTGATTTCATCTCTAGCTGCTTCGGTTGTGGGCGGAACTGAATCGGAGACAACTGCTGGCTCTTCCTCCGCAGATTTCTCCAGAGTAGCGTGAAGGTCCTTGTCTTGGGGAAGATCTGCAGTAGGCTGTTGTGCAGCCGGAAGAATGTCGTCGGTATCCTTCTCGTCGTGCTGTTCAGCAGGAGTGGGTGGGGACGCAATGACTTCGGGTTCCTTGTCCTCAGAAACTGAAGACACCTCGCTCTCTGCAGCGGGCGATTCTTCTGGAGATGTGGCTGCCGGTTCGGCCTGGGGAAGTACAGGAATTTCCTTTTCCTCAGAGGGTGCTTCATCTGCTGTAAGATCGTTGTCTGCAGTAGAGGTGATGACATCTGCTTCCTTGGATGAAGCTTCGTCCTTGATCTCCTCGTCTGCAGGAATGGCAGTGATTTCCTCTTGAGGGAGAATGACCTCCGGCTCCTTGTCGTCGGGAGTGGAAGTCTCCTGCGTTACTGGAAGAGGAGTCTCCTCGGTAGGAATTGCCGCTGGTTCGTCCTCTGGAAGAAGAGATGTCTCCTTATCATGTTTGGGACTGGAGGGTACGTCCTTCTCAGCCTCTGGTTCCGTCACGCTCTCTTCTACATGTGCAGGTAACACAATTTCTCTGGGAAGTGTTGTGTCGTCGGCAGTATCATCAGTTTTCATGTCATCCTCAGCTGCTTCGGCTGTGGGCGGTACTGAGTCGGAGACAACTGCTGGCTCTTGTTCCGCAGATTTCTCCAGAGTGTCGGGAAGCTCCTTGTCTTGGGGAAGATCTGCAGTAGGCTCTTGTGCAGTCGGAAGAATGTCGACGGTATCCTTCTCGTCGTGCTGTTCAGCAGGAGTGGGTGGGGACGCAATGATTTCGGGTTCCTTGTCCTCAGAAACTGAAGATACCTCGGTCTCTGCAGCAGGCGATTCTACCGGAGAAATGGCTGGCGGCTCGGCCTCTGAAGATGCAGGAACTTCCTTTTCCTCAGAGTGTACTTCATCTGCTGTCAGTTCTTTGTCTGAAGTAGAGGTGGTGACATCTGCTTCCTTGGATGAAGCTTCTTCCTTGATCTCCTCGTCCGCAGGAATGGCAGTGATTTCCTCTTGAGGGAGAATGACCTCCGGCTCCTTGTCGTCGGGAGTGGAAGTCTCCTGCGTTACTGGAAGAAGAGTCTCCTCGGTAGGAATTGCCGCTGGTTCGTCCTCTGGAAGAGAAGATGTGTCCTTTCCATGTGTAGGACTGGGGGGTACCTCCTTCTCAGCCTCTGGTTCCGTCACGCTCTCTTCTACAGGTGCAGGTAACACAATTTCTCTGGAAAGTGTTGTGTCGTCGGCAGTATCATCAGTTTTAATGTCGTCTTGAGCTGCTTCGGCTGTGGGCAGTACTGAGTCGGAGACAACTGCTCGCTCTTGTTCCGCAGATTTCTCCAGAGTATCGGGAAGCTCCTTGTCTTGGGGAAGATCTGCAGTAGGCTCTTGTGCAGTAGGAAGAATGTCGACGGTATCCTTCTCGTCGTGCTGTTCAGCAGGAGTGGGTGGGGACGCAATGACTTCGGGTTCCTTGTCCTCAGAAACTGAAGATACCTCGGTCTCTGCAGCAGGCGATTCTACCGGAGAAATGGCTGGCGGCTCGGCCTCTGAAGATGCAGGAACTTCCTTTTCCTCAGAGTGTACTTCATCTGCTGTCAGTTCTTTGTCTGAAGTAGAGGTGGTGACATCTGCTTCCTTGGATGAAGCTTCTTCCTTGATCTCCTCGTCCGCAGGAATGGCAGTGATTTCCTCTTGAGGGAGAATGACCTCCGGCTCCTTGTCGTCGGGAGTGGAAGTCTCCTGCGTTACTGGAAGAAGAGTCTCCTCGGTAGGAATTGCCGCTGGTTCGTCCTCTGGAAGAGAAGATGTGTCCTTTCCATGTGTAGGACTGGGGAGTACCTCCTTCTCAGCCTCTGGTTCCGTCACGCTCTCTTCTACAGGTGCAGGTAACACAATTTCTCTGGAAAGTGTTGTGTCGTCGGCAGTATCATCAGTTTTAATGTCGTCTTGAGCTGCTTCGGCTGTGGGCAGTACTGAGTCGGAGACAACTGCTGGCTCTTGTTCCGCAGATTTCTCCAGAGTATCGGGAATCTCATTGTCTTGGGGAAGATCTGCAGTAGGCTCTTGTGCAGCCGGAAGAATGTCGTCGGTATCCTTCTCGTCGTGCTGTTCAGCAGGAGTGGGTGGGGACGCAATGACTTCGGGTTCCTTGTCCTCAGAAACTGAAGATACCTCGGTCTCTGCAGCAGGCGATTCTACCGGAGAAATGGCTGGCGGCTCGGCCTCTGAAGATGCAGGAACTTCCTTTTCCTCAGAGTGTACTTCATCTGCTGTCAGTTCTTTGTCTGAAGTAGAGGTGGTGACATCTGCTTCCTTGGATGAAGCTTCTTCCTTGATCTCCTCGTCCGCAGGAATGGCAGTGATTTCCTCTTGAGGGAGAATGACCTCCGGCTCCTTGTCGTCGGGAGTGGAAGTCTCCTGCGTTACTGGAAGAGGAGTCTCCTCGGTAGGAATTGCCGCTGGTTCGTCCTCTGGAAGAAGAGATGTCTCCTTATCATGTTTGGGACTGGAGGGTACGTCCTTCTCAGCCTCTGGTTCCGTCACGCTCTCTTCTACATGTGCAGGTAACACAATTTCTCTGGGAAGTGTTGTGTCGTCGGCAGTATCATCAGTTTTCATGTCATCCTCAGCTGCTTCGGCTGTGGGCGGTACTGAGTCGGAGACAAGTGCTGGCTCTTGTTCCGCAGATTTCTCCAGAGTGTCGGGAAGCTCCTTGTCTTGGGGAAGATCTGCAGTAGGCTCTTGTGCAGTCGGAAGAATGTCGACGGTATCCTTCTCGTCGTGCTGTTCAGCAGGAGTGGGTGGGGACGCAATGACTTCGGGTTCCTTGTCCTCAGAAACTGAAGATACCTCGGTCTCTGCAGCAGGCGATTCTACCGGAGAAATGGCTGGCGGCTCGGCCTCTGAAGATGCAGGAACTTCCTTTTCCTCAGAGTGTACTTCATCTGCTGTCAGTTCTTTGTCTGAAGTAGAGGTGGTGACATCTGCTTCCTTGGATGAAGCTTCTTCCTTGATCTCCTCGTCCGCAGGAATGGCAGTGATTTCCTCTTGAGGGAGAATGACCTCCGGCTCCTTGTCGTCGGGAGTGGAAGTCTCCTGCGTTACTGGAAGAAGAGTCTCCTCGGTAGGAATTGCCGCTGGTTCGTCCTCTGGAAGAGAAGATGTGTCCTTTCCATGTGTAGGACTGGGGGGTACCTCCTTCTCAGCCTCTGGTTCCGTCACGCTCTCTTCTACAGGTGCAGGTAACACAATTTCTCTGGAAAGTGTTGTGTCGTCGGCAGTATCATCAGTTTTAATGTCGTCTTGAGCTGCTTCGGCTGTGGGCAGTACTGAGTCGGAGACAACTGCTGGCTCTTGTTCCGCAGATTTCTCCAGAGTATCGGGAATCTCATTGTCTTGGGGAAGATCTGCAGTAGGCTGTTGTGCAGCCGGAAGATTGTCGAGGGTATCCTTCTCGTCGTGCTGTTCAGCAGGAGTGGGTGGGGACGCAATGACTTCGGGTTCCTTCTCCTCAGAGACGGAAGACATGTCGCTCTCTGCAGCGGGCGATTCTTCTGGAGAAATGGATGCCGGTTCGTCTTCGGGAAGTGCAGGAGTTTTGTTTTCCTCAGTGGCAGGAGTGAGTACTTCCTCTGCTGGAAGATCTTTGTCAGCAGTAGAGGCGGTGACATCTGTTTCCTTGGGTGAAGCTTCTTCGGGTGAATCTTCTTCTTTGACCTCCTCGTCTGCAGGAGTGGAAGTCTCCTGTGTTACTACAAGAGGAGTCTCCTCGGTAGGAATTTCCGCAGGCTCGTCGTCTGGAAGAGAAGTTGTCTCCTTTCCATGTGTAGGACTGGAGGGTACCTCCTTCTCAACCTCTGGTTCCGTCACGCTTTCTTCTACAGGTGCAGGTAACACAATTTCTCTGGAAAGTGTTGTGTCGTCGGCAGTATCATGAGTTTTTATGTCGTCTTGAGCTGCTTCGGCTGTGGACGGTACTGAGTCGGAGACAACTTCTCGCTCTTGTTCCGCAGATTTCTCCAGAGTATCGGGAATCTCCTTGTCTTGAGGAAGATCTGCAGTAGGCTCTTGTGCAGCCGGAAGAATGTCGACGGTATCCTTCTCGTCGTGCTGTTCAGCAGGAGTGGGTGGGGACGCAATGACTTCGGGTTTCTTCTCCTCAGAGACCGAAGACACCGCGCTCTCTGCAGCGTGCGATTCTTCTGGAGAAATGGCTGCCGGTTCGTCCTCGGGAAGTGCAGGAGTTTCCTTTTCCTCAGTGGCAGGAGTGAGTACTTCCTCTGCTGGAAGATCTTTGTCTGCAGTAGAGGCGGTGACATCTGTTTCCTTGGATGAAGCTTCTTCCTTAACCTCCTCGGCTGCAGGAGTGGAAGTCTCCTGTGTTACAACAAGAGGAGTCTCCTCGGTAGGAATTGCCGCAGGTTCGTACTCTGGAAGAGAAGATGTCTCCTTTCCATGTGTAGGACTGGAGGGTACCTCCTTCTCAACCTCTGGTTCCGTCACGCTTTCTTCTACAGGTGCAGGTAACACAATTTCTCTGGAAAGTGTTGTGTCGTCGGCAGTATCATCAGTTTGAATGTCGTCTTGAGCTGCTTCGGCTGTGGTCGGTACTGAGTCGGAGACAACTGCTGGCTCTTGTTCCGCAGATTTCTCCAGAGTATCGGGAAGCTCATTGTCTTGGGGAAGATCTGCAGTAGGCTCTTGTGCAGCCGGAAGAATTTCGAGGGTATCCTTCTCGTCGTGGTGTTCAGCAGGAGCTGGTGGGGACGCAATGACTTCGGGTTCCTTCTCCTTAGAGATCGAAGACACGTCGCTCTCTGCAGCGGGCGATTCTTCTGGAGAAATAGCTGCCGGTTCATCTTCGGGAAGTGCAGGAGTTTTGTTTTCCTCAGTGGCAGGAGTGAGTACTTCCTCTGCTGGAAGATCTTTGTCTGCAGTAGCGGTGGTGACATCTGCTTCCTTGGGTGAAGCTTCTTCCTTGACCTCCTCGTCTGCAGGTGTGGAAGTCTCCTGTGTTACTACAAGAGGAGTCTCCTCGGTAGGAATTGCCGCAGGCTCGTCGTCTGGATGAGAAGTTGTCTCCTTTTCATGTGTAGGACTGGGGGGTACCTCCTTCTCAGCCTCTGGTTCGGGCACGCTTTCTTCTATAGGTGCAGGTAACACAATTTCTTTCGTAAGTGTTGTGTCGTCGGCAGTATCATCAGTTTGAATGTCATCCTCAGCTGATTCAGCTGTGGGCGGTACTGAGTCGGAGACAATTGCTGGCTCTTGTTCCGCAGATTTCTCCAAAGTATCGGGAATCTCCTTGTCTTGGGGAAGATCTGCAGTAGGCTCTTGTGCAGCCGGAAGAATGTCGACGGTATCCTTCTCGTCGTGCTGTTCAGCAGGAGCGGGTGGGGACGCAATGACTTCGGGTTTCTTCTCCTCAGAGACTGAAGACTCGTCGCTCTCTGCAGCGGGCGATTCATCTGGAGAAATGGCTGCCGGCTCGTCATCTTGAAGAGAAGTTGTCTTCTTTCCATGTGTGGGACTGGAGGGTACCTCCTTCTCAACCTCTGGTTCCGTCACGCTTTCTTCTATAGGTGCAGGTAACACAATTTCTCTGGAAAGTGTTGTGACGTCGGCAGTATCATCAGTTTTTATGTCATCCTCAGCTGGTTCAGCTGTGGGCGGCACTGAGTCGGAGATAACTGCTGGGGCTTGTTCCGCAGATTTCTCCAGAGTATCGGGAATCTCATTGTCTTGGGGAAGATCTGCAGGAGGCTCTTGTGCAGCCGGAAGAATGTCGACGGTATTCTTCTCGTCGTGCTGTTCAGCAGGATTGGGTGGGGACGCAATGACTTCGGGTTCCTTGTCCTCAGAAACTGAATACACCTCGCTCTCTGCAGCGGGCGATTCTTCTGGGGATATGGCTGCCGGTTCGTCCTCGGGAAGTGCAGGAGTTTTGTTTTCCTCAGTGGCAGGAGTGAGTACTTCCTCTGCAGGAAGATCTTTGTCTGCAGTAGAGGTGCTGACATCTGTTTCCTTGGGTGAAGATTCTTCCTTGATCTCCTCGGCTGCAGATGTGGGAGCGATATCCTCTAGAGGAGGAATGACCTCCGGTTCCTGTTGTACGAGAGTGGAAGTCTCCTGCGTTACTGGAAGAGGAGTCTCTTCGGTAGGAATCGCCGCAGGTTCGTCCTCTGGAAGAGGAGTTGTCTCATTTTCATGTTTAGGACTGGAGGGTGCCTCTTTGTCAGCCTCTGTTTCCGTCACGCTTTCTTCCACATGTGCAGGTAACATAATTTCTTTGGAAAGTGTTGTGTCGTCGGCAGTATCATCCGTTTGAGTGTCATCTGCAGCTGCTTCGGCTGTGGGTGGAACTGAATCCGTGACCAATGCAGGCTCTTCTTCCGCAGGTTTCTCAAGAGTAGTCTCTTGGGTAGAAGTGGCTGCAGGTTCGTCGTCTGCAGGAGGAGAAATCTCTTTGTCTTCATTTGAACTAGTGGGGACAACCTCCTCAGCTTCCGGTTCCTTCACTGTGTCTTTTTCATGTGCAGGTAAAACAATTTCTTTGGAAATTGCTGTGTCGTCGGCAGTATCAACAGTTTTAGTCTCATCCGCAGGTGATTCGGTTGTGGGCGCCAATGCAGGCTCTTCTTCCGCAGATTTCTCAAGAGTATCGTGAAGTTCTTTGTCTTGTGGAGGATCCGCTGTAGGCTCTTGTGCAGCCGGAAGAATCTCTACAGTATCCTTCTCGTCGTGCTGTTCATCTGGAGTGGCTGGGGAAGCAATGACTTCGGGTTCCTCCTCCTCAGAGACTGAAGACACCTCGCTACCTGCCGCGGAAGATTCTTCTGGAGAAATGGCTGCTGGTTCGTCCTCGGGAAGTGCAGGACTTTCCTTTTCCTCAGAGAGAGGAGCGAGTACTTCATCTGCTGTAAGATCTTTGTCTGCAGTAGAGATGGTGCCATCTGCTTCCTTGGGTGAAGATTCTTCCTTGATCTCCTCGTCTGCAGATGTGGGAGCGATATCCTCTAGAGGAGGAATGACCTCCGGCTCCTGTTGTTCGAGAGTGGAAGTCTCCTGCGTTACTGGAAGAGGAGTCTCATCGGTAGGAATCGCCGCAGGTTCGTTCTCTGGAAGAGGAGTTGTCTCCTTTTCATGTTTGGGACTGGAGGGTGCCTCCTTGTCAGCTTCTGGTTCCGTCACGCTTTCATCCACATGTGCAGGTAACAAAATTTCTTTGGAAAGTGTTGTGTCGTCGGCAGCATCGTCGGTTTTAATGTCATCCTCAGCTGCTTCGGCTGTGGGCGGTACTGAGTCGGAGACAACTGCTGGCTCTTGTTCCGCAGATTTCTCCAGAGTATCGGGAATCTCCTTGTCTTGGGGAAGATCTGCAGTAGGCTCTTGTGCAGCCGGAAGAATGTCGACGGTATCCTTCTCGTCGTGCTGTTCAGCAGGAGCGGGTGGGGACGCAATGACTTCGGGTTCCTTGTCCTCAGAAACTGAAGATACGTCGCTCTCTGCAGCGGGCGATTCTTCTGGAGAAATGGCTGCCGGTTCGGCCTCTGGAAGGGCAGGACTTTCCTTTTCCTCAGAGGGTACTTCATCTGCTGTAAGATCTTTGTCTGCAGTAGAGGTGATGACATCTGCTTCCTTGGATGAAGCTTCGTCCTTGATCTCCTCGTGTGCAGGAATGGAAGTGATATCCTCTTGAGGGATAATGACCTCCGGCGAAATGACTTCGGTTTCCTTATCCTCAGAAACTGAAGACACCTCGCTCTGTGCAGCGTGCGATTCTTCTGGAGAAATGGATGCCCGTTCGTCCTCGGGAAGTCCATGAATTTCCTTTTGCTCAGTCGGTGGAGTAAGTACGTCGTCTGATGTTAAATCTTTGTCTCCAGAAGTGGTTGTGACATCTGCTTCTTTGGGTGTAGCTGCTTCCTTGATTTCCTCGTCTGCAGAAGTGGAAGCGATATCCTCTTGAGGAGGAATGACCTCCGGCTCCTGTTCCTCGGAAGTGGAAGTCTCGTGAGTTACTGAAAGAGGAGTCTCTTCGGTAGGAGTTGCCGCAGATTCGTCCTCCGGAAGAGGAGTTGAGTCCTTTTCATGTTTAGGACTGGAGGGTAGCTCCTTCTCAGCCTCTGGTTCCGTCACGCTTTCTTCCACATGTGCAGGTAACACGATTTCTCTGTAAAGTGTTGTGTCGTCCGTAGTATCATCAGTTTTAATGTCATCTTCAGCAGCTTCCGCTGTGGGCGGTACTGAGTCAGAGACATCTGCCTCCTCTTCGTTATCAGATTTCTCAAGAGTGTCGTGAAGCTCCTTGTCTTGGTGAAGATCTGCAGTAGGCTCTTGTGCAGTCGTAAGAATGTCGTCGGCATCCTTCTCGTCGTGCTGTTCAGCGGGAGTGGCTGGGGACGCAATGACTTCGGGTTCCTTTTCCTCAGAAACTGAAGACACTTCGACCTCTGCAGCGGGCGAAATGGCTGCCGCTTCGTCCTCTGGAAGTGCAGTAATTTCCTTTTCCTCAGAGGGTACCTCATCTGCTTTAAGATCTTTGTCTGCGGTAGAGAAGATAACATCTGCTTCCTTGGATGAAGCTTCTTGCTTGATCTCCTCGTGTGCAGGAGTGGTAGCGATATCCTCTTGAGGAGGAATAACTTCCGGCTCCAGTTCCTCGGGAGTGGAAGTCTCCTGCGTTACTGGAAGAGGAGTCTTCTCGGTAGGAATTGCCGCAGGTTCGTCCTCTGGAAGAGAAGGTGTGTCCTTTTCATGTGTAGGACTGGGGGGTACCTCCTTTTCAGCCTCTGGTTCTGTCACGCTTTCTTCTACAGGTGCAGGTAACACAATTTCTCTGGAAAGTGTTCTGTCGTCGGCAGTATCATCAGTTTTAATGTCGTCTTCAGCGTCGGTGTCCTTTTCGTCGTGCTGTTCAGCAGGAGTGGCTGTGGGAGCAATGACTTCGGGTTCCTTCTCCTCAGAGACTGAAGACACGTCGCTCTCTGCAGCGGGCGATTCTTCTGTAGAAATGGCTGCTGGTTCGTCCTCGGGAAGTGGAGGAGTTTCCTTTTCCTCAGAGGGGGGAGTGATTACTTCATCTCCGGAAAGTTCTTTTTCTCCAGTAGAGGTGGTCACATCTGCTTCCTTGGGTGCAGTTTCTTCCTTGATCTCCTTGTCTGCAGGAGAAGAAGCGATATCCTGTTGAGGTGGAATGAATTCCGGCTCCTTGTCCTCGGGAGCTGAACTCACCTGGGTTTCTGAAAGAAAATTCTCTTCTAGAGGAATTGCATCACGTTCGTCCTGTGGAGGAGGAATTGTCTCGGGTGCAGGTAACACAATTTCTTTTGTAAGTGTTGTGTCCTCGGCAGCATCGTCGGTGTTAATGTCATCCTCAGCTGCTTCGGCTGTGGGCGGTACTGAGTCGGAGACAACTGCTGGCCCTTCTTCCGCAGATTTCTCCAGAGTATCGGGAATCTCCTTGTCTTGGGGAAGATCTGCAGTAGGCTGTTGTGCAGCCGGAACAATGTCGACAGCATCCTTCTCGTCGTGCTTTTCAGGAGAAGTGTCTAAGGACGCACTGACTTCGGGTTGCTTCTCCTCAGGAACTGAAGACACCTCGCTCTCTGCAGCGGGCGAATCTTCTGCAGAAATGGTTGCCGGTTCGGCCACGGGAATTGCAGGAAGTTCCTTTTTCTCAGAGGGTATTTCATCTGCTGTAAGATCCTTGTCTGCAGTAGAGGTGCTGACATCTGCTTCCTTTGGTGAACCTTCTTGCTTGATCTCCTCGTCTGCAGGAGTGGAAGCGATATCCTCTTGAGGAAGAATGACCTCCGGCTCCTTGTCCTCCGGAGTGAAAGTCTCCTGTGTTACTACAAGAGGAGTCTCCTCGGTAGGAATTGCCGCAGGTTCGTCCTCTGGAAGAGAACTTGTCTCCTTTTCATGTGTAGGACTGGGGGTTACCTCCTTTTCAGACTCTGGTTCCGTCACGCTTTCTTCTACAGGTGCAGGTAACACAATTTCTCTGGAAAGTGTTGTGTCGTCGGCAGTATCATCAGTTTTAATGTCGTTTTCAGCTGCTTCGGCTGTGGGCGGTACTGAGTCGGAGACAACTGCTGGCTCTTCTTCCGCAAATTTCTCCAGAGTATCGGGAATCTCATTGTCTTGGGGAAGATCTGCAGTAGGCTCTTGTGCAGCCGGAAGAATGTCGACGGTATCCTTCTCGTCGTGCTGTTCAGCAGGAGCGGGTGGGGACGCAATGACTTCGGGTTCCTTCTCCTCAGAGACTGAAGACACCTCGCTCTCTGCAACGGGCGATTCATCTGGAGAAATGGCTGCCGGTTCGTCCTCGGGAAGTGCAGGAGTTTTGTTTTCCTCAGTGGCAGGAGTGAGTACTTCCTCTGCTGGAAGATCTTTGTCTGCAGTAGCGGTGGTGACATCTGTTTCCTTGGGTGAAGCTTCTTCCTTGACCTCCTCGTCTGCAGGTGTGGAAGTCTCCTGTGTTACTACAACAGGAGTCTCCTCGGTAGGAATTGCTGCAGGCTCGTTCTCTGGAAGAGAAGTTGTCTCCTTTTCATTTGTAGGACTGGAGGGTACTTCCTTCTCAGCCTCTGGTTCCGCCACACTTTCTTCTACAGGTGCAGGTAACGCAATTTCTCTGGAAAGTGTTGTGTCGTCGGCAGTATCATCAGTTTTTATGTCGTCTTGAGCTGCTTCGGCTGTGGGCGGTACCGAGTCGGAGACAACTGCTGGCAATTGTTCCGCAGAATTCTCCAGAGTATCGGGAATCTCCTTGTCTTGGGGAAGATCTGCAGTAGGCTCTTGTGCAGCCGGAAGAATGTCGACGGTATCCTTCTCGTCGTGCTGTTCAGCAGGAGTAGGTGGGGACGCAATAACTTCGGGTTCCTTCTCCTCAGAGGCTGAAGACACGTCGCTCTCTGCAGCGGGCGATTCATCTGGAGAAATGGCTGCCGGTTCGTCTTCGGGAAGTGCAGGAATTTTGTTTTCCTCAGTGGCAGGAGTGAGTACTTCCTCTGCAGGAAGATCTTTGTCTGCAGTAGAGGCGGTGACATCTGTTTCCTTGGGTGAAGCTTCTTCCTTGATCTCCTCGCCTGCAGGAGTGGAAGTCTCCTGTGTTACTACAAGAGGAGTCTCCTCGGTAGGAATTGCCGCAGGCTCGTCGTCTGGAAGAGAAGTTGTCTCCTTTTCATGTGTAGGACTGGAGGGTACCTCCTTCTCAACCTCGGGTTCCGTCACGCTTTCTTCTACAGGTGCAGGTAACACAATTTCTCTGGAAAGTGTTGTGTCGTCGGCAGTATCATGAGTTTTTATGTTGTCTTGAGCTGCTTCGGCTGTGGTCGGTACTGAGTCGGAGACAACTGCTGGCTCTTGTTCCGCAGATTTCTCCAGAGTATCGGGAATCTCATTGTCTTGGGCAAGATCTACAGTAGGCTGTTGTGCAGCGGGAAGAATGTCGACGGTTTCCTTCTCGTCGTGCTGTTCAGCAGGAGCTGGTGGGGACGAAATGACTTCGGGTTCCTTCTCCTCAGAGACTGAAGACACCTCGCTCTCTGCAGCGTGCGATTCTTCTGGAGAAATGGCTGCCGGTTCGTCCTCGGGAAGTGCAGGAGTTTTGTTTTCCTCAGTGGCAGGAGTGAGTACTTCCTCTGCAGGAAGATCTTTGTCTGCTGTAGCGGTGGTGACATCTGTTTCCTTGGGTGAAGATTCTTCTTTGACCTCCTCGTCTGCAGGAGTGGAAGTCTCCTGTGTTACTACAAGAGGAGTCTCCTCGGTAGGAATTGCCGCAGGCTCGTTCTCTGGAAGAGAAGTTGTCTCCTTTTCATTTGTAGGACTGGAGGGTACCTCCTTGTCAGCCTCTGGTTCCGCCACACTTTCTTCTACAGGTGCAGGTAACACAATTTCTCTGGAAAGTGTTGTGTCGTCGGCAGTATCATCAGTTTTTATGTTGTCTTGAGCTGCTTCGGCTGTGGGCGGTACCGAGTCGGAGACAACTGCTGGCAATTGTTCCGCAGATTTCTCCAGAGTGTCGGGAATCTCCTTGTCTTGGGGAAGATCTGCAGTAGGCTCTTGTGAAGCCGGAAGAATGTCGACGGTATCTTTCTCGTCTTGCTGTTCAGCAGGAGTAGGTGGGGACGCAATTACTTCGGGTTCTTTCTCCTCAGAGACTGAAGACACGTCGCTCTCTGCAGCTGGCGATTCATCTGGAGAAATGGCTGCCGGTTCGTCTTCGGGAAGTGCAGGAATTTGGTTTTCCTCAGTGGCAGGAGCGAGTACTTCCTCTGCTGGAAGATCTTTGTCTGCAGTAGCGGTGGTGACATCTGTTTCCTTGGGTGAAGCTTCTTCCTTGATCTCCTCGTCTGCAGGAGTGGAAGTCTCCTGTGTTACTACAACAGGAGTCTCCTCGGTAGGAATTGCCGCAGGCTCGTCCTCTGGAAGAGAAGTTGTCTCCTTTTCATGTGTAGGACTGGAGGGTACGTCCTTCTCAACCTCTGGTTCCGTCACGCTTTCTTCTACAGGTGCAGGTAACACAATTTCTTTTGTAAGTGTTGTGACGTCGGCAGTATCCTCAGTTTGAATGTCATCCTCAGCTGCTTCAGCTGTGGGCGGTTCTGAGTCGGAGACAACTGCTGGCTCTTGTTCCGCAGATTTCTCCAGAGTATCTGCAATCTCCTTGTCTTGGGGAAGATCTTTAGTAGGCTGTTGTGCAGCCGGAAGAATGTCGACGGTATCTTTCTCGTCGTGCTGTTCAGCAGGAGTAGGTGGAGCCGCAATGACTTCGGGTTCCTTCTCCTCAGTGACTGAAGTCACCTCGCTCTCTGCAGCAGGCGATTCTTCTGGAGAAATGGCTGTCGGTTCGTCCTCGGGAAGTGCAGGAGTTTTGTTTTCCTCAGTGGTAGGAGTGAGTACTTCCTCTGCTGGAAGATCTTTGTCTGCAGTAGCGGTGGTGACATCTGTTTGCTTTGGTGAAGCTTCTTCCTTGACCTCCTCGTCTGCAGGAGTCGAAGTCTCCTGTGTTACTACAAGAGGAGTCTCCTCGGTAGGAATTGCCGCAGGCTCGTCCTCTGGAAGAGAAGTTGTCTCCCTTTCCTGTGTAGGACTGGAGGGTACGTCCTTCTCAACCTCTGGTTCCGCCACGCTTTCTTCTACAGGTGCAGGTAACATAATTTCTCTGGAAAGAGTTGTGTCGTCGGCAGTATCATCAGTTTTAATGTCGTCTTCAGCGTCGGTGTCCTTTTCGTCGTGCTGTTCAGGAGGAGTGGCTGGGGACGCACTGACTTCGGGTTCCTTCTCCTCAGAAACTGAAGACTCCTCGCTTACTGCAGCCGGCGATTCATGTGAAGAGATGGCTGCCGGGACGGTCTCGGGAATTGCAGGAATTTCCTTTTCTTCAGAGGGAGGAATGAGTAATTCATCTGCTGTAAGATATTTGTCTGCAGTAGAAGTTTTGACATCTGCTTCCTTCGGTGAAGCTTCGTCCTTGATCTCCTCGTCTGCAGGAGTGGAAGTGATATCCTCTTGAGGAGGAATGACGTCCGGGTCCTGTTCCTGGGGAGTGGAAGCCTCCTGCGTTACTGGAAGAGGAGTACCTTCTGTAGGAATTGTCGCAGATTCGTCTTCTGGAAGAGGAGTTGTCTCCTTTTCATGCTTGGGACTGGAGGGTACCTCCTTCTCAGCCTCTGGTTCCGTCACGCTTTCTTCTACATGTGCAGGTAACACAATTTCTTTGGAAAGTGTTGTGTCGTCGGGAGTATCATCAGTTTTAATGTCATCTTCAGCTGCTTCGGCTGTAGTTGGAACTGAGTCGGAGACAACTGCTGGCTCTTCTTCCGCAGATTTCTCCAGAGTATCCTGAAGCTCCTTGTCTTGGGGAAGATCTGCAGTAGGCTCTTGTGCAGCCGTTAGAATGTCCACGGTATCCTTCTCAGCGTGCTGTTCAGCAAGAGTGGGTGGGGACGCAATGACTTCGGGTTCCTTCTCCTCAGAAACTGAAGACACCTCGCTCTCTGCAGCTGGCGATTCTCCTGGAGAAATGGCTGCCGGCTCGGCCTCTGGTAGTGCAGGAACCTCCTTTTCCTCAGAGGAACCTTCATCTGCTGTAAGTTCATTGTCTGCAGTAGAGGTGATGACATCTGTTTCCTTGGATGTAGTTTCTTCCTTGATTTCCTCGTCTGCAGGAATGGAAGTGATATCCTCTTGAGGGAGGATGACCTCTGGCTCCTTGTCCTCGGGAGTGGAAGTCTCCTGCGGTACTGGAAGAGTAGTCTCTTCGTTAGGAATTGCCGCTGGCTCGTCCTCTGGAAGAGGAGTTGTCTCCTTATCGTGTTTGGGACTGGAGGGTAGCTTCTTCTCAGCCTCTGGTTCCGTCACGCTTTCTTCTACATTTGTAGGTAACACAATTTCTCTGGAAAGAGTTGTGTCGTCGGCAGTTTCATCAGTTTTAATGTCGTCATCAGCTGCTTCGGCTGTGGGCGGTACTGAGTCGGAGACAACTGCTGGTTCGTCTTCCGCAGATTTGTCCAGAGTATCGGGAAGCTCCTTGTCTTGGGGAAGATCTGCAGTAGGCTCTTGTGCAGTAGGAAGAATGTCGACAGCATCCTTCTCGTCGTGCTGTTCAGCAGGAGTGGGTGGGGACGCAATGACCTCGGGTTCCTTCTCCTCAGAGACTGAAGACACCTCGCTTCCTGCTGCAGGTGATTCTACTGGAGAAATGGCTGCCGTTTCGGCCTCTGGAAATGCAGGAATTTCCTTTTCCTCCAAGGGTACTTCATCTGCTGTAAGATCTTTGTCTGCAGTAGTGGTGATGACATCCACTTCCTTGGATGAAGCTTCTTCCTTGATCTCCTCGTCTGCAGGAATGGAAGGGATATCCCCTTGAGGGAGAATGACCTCCAGCTCCTTGTCCTCGGGAGTGGAAGTCTCCTGCGTTACTGGAAGAGGAGTCTCTTCGTTAGGAATTGCCGCTGGCTCGTCCTCTGGAAGAGGAGTTGTCTCCTTTTCCTGTTTAGGACTGGAGGGTACCTCGTCCGCTGCCTCTGGTCCCGTCACGCTTTCTTCCACATGTGCAGGGAACACAATTTCTCTGGAAAGTGTTGTGTCGTCGGGAGTATCATCAGTATTAATCTCATCCTCAGCTGCTTCGGTTGTGGGCGGTACTGAGTCGGAGACAACTGTTGGAACTTCTTCCGCAGTTTTCTCCAGAGTATCGGGAAGCTCCTTGTCTTGGGGAAGATCTGCAGTAGGCTCTTGTGCAGCCGGAAGAATGTCGACGGTATCCTTCTCGTCGTGCTGTTCAGCAGGAGTGGGTGGGGACGCAATGACATTGGGTTCCTTCTCCTCAGAAACTGAAGACACCTCGCTCTCTGCAGCAGGCGGTTCTACTGGAGAAATGGCTGCTGTTTCGGCCTCTGGAAGTGCAGGAACTTCCTTTTCCTGAGAGTGGACTTCATCTGCTGTCAATTCTTTGTCTGCAGTAGAGGTGGTGACATCTGCTTCCTTGGATGAAGCTTCTTCCTTGATCTCCTCGTGTGCAGGAATGGAAGTGGAAGTCTCCTGCGTTACTGGAAGAGGAGTCTCATCGGCAGCCATTGCCTCTGGTTCGTCCTCTGGAAGAAGAGATGTCTCCTTATCATGTTTGGGACTGGAGGGTACCTCCTTCTCAGTCTCTGGTTCCGTCACGCTCTCTTCTTCATGTGGAGGTAACACAATTTCTCTGGAAAGTGTTGTGTCGTCGTCGGCAGTATCATCAGTTTTAGTGTCGTCTTCAGTTGCTTCGGCTGTGGGCGGTACTGAGTCGGAGACAACTGCTGGCTCTTCTTCCGCAGATTTGTCCAGAGTATCGGGATGCTCCTTGTCTTGTGGAAGATCTGCAGTAGGCTCTTGTGCAGCCGGAAGAATGTCGACGTTATCCTTCTCGTTGTGCTGTTCAGCAGGAGTGGGTGGGGACGCAATGACTTCGGGTTCCTTCTCCTTAGAAACTGAAGACACCTCGCTCTCTGCAGCTGGCGATTCTCCTGGAGAAATGGCTGCCGGCTCGGCCTCTGGTAGTGCATGAACTTCCTTTTCCTCAGAGGAACCTTCAACTGCTGTCAGTTCTTTCTCTGCAATAGAGGTAATGACATCTGCTTCCTTGGACGAAGCATCTTCCTTGATCTCCTCTTGAGGAATGGAAGTGATATCCTCTTGAGGGAGAATGACCTCCGGGTCCTTGTCCTCGGGAGTGGAAGTCTCCTTCGTTACCGGAAGAGGAGTCTCTTCGGTAGCCAGTGCGGCTAGTTCGTCTTCTGGAAGAAGAGATGTCTCCTTATCATGTTTGGGACTGGAGGGTACGTCCTTCTCCGCCTCTGGTTCCGTCACGCTCTCTTCTTCATGTGGAGGTAACACAATTTCTCTGGAAAGTGTTGTGTCGTCGGGAGTATCATCAGTTTTATTGTCATCCTCAGCTGCTTCGGCTGTGGGCGGTACTGAGTCGGAGACAACTGCTGGCTCTTCTTCCGCAGATTTGTCCAGAGTGTCGGGAAGCTCCTTGTCTTGGGGAAGATCTGCAGTAGGCTCTTGTGTAGCCGGAAGAATGTCGACGGTATCCTTCTCGTCGTGGTGTTCAGCAGGAGTGGGTGGGGACGCAATGACTTCGGGTTCCTTCTCCTCAGAAACTGAAGACACCTTGCTCTCTTCAGCAGGCGATTCTACTGAAGAAAGGGCTTCCAGCTCGGCCTCTGGAAGTGCAGGAACTTCCTTTTCCTCAGAGTGTACTTCATCTGCTGTCAATTCTTTCTCTGCAGTAGAGGTAATGACTTCTGCTTCCTTGGATGAAGCTTCTTCCTTGATCTCCTCGTGTGCAGGAATGGAAGTGATAACCTCTTGAGGGAGAATTACCTCCTTGTCCTTGTCCTCGGGAGTGGAAGTCTCCTGCGTTACTGGAAGAGGAGTCTCATCGGCAGCCATTGCCGCTGGTTCGTCCTCTGGAAGAAGAGATGTCTCCTTATCATGTTTGGGACTGGAGGGTACCTCCTTCTCAGTCTCTGGTTCCGTCACGCTCTCTTCTTCATGTGGAGGTAACACAATTTCTCTGGAAAGTGTTGTGTCGTCGTCGGCAGTATCATCAGTTTTAGTGTCGTCTTCAGCTGCTTCGGCTGTGGGCGGTGCTGAGTCGGAGACAACTGCTGGCTCTTGTTCTGCAGATTTGTCCAGAGTATCGGGAAGCTCCTTGTCTTGTGGAAGATCTGCAGTAGGCTCTTGTGCAGTCAGAAGAATGTCGACGGTATCCTTCTCGTCGTGCTGTTCAGGAGGAGTAGGTGGGGACGCTATGACTTCGGGTTCCTTCTCCTTAGAAACTGAAGACACCTCGCTCTCTGCAGCTGGCGATTCTCCTGGAGAAATGGCTGTCGTTTCGGCCTCTGGAAGTGCAGGAGCTTCCTTTACCTCAGAGGAAACTTCATCTGTTGTTAGATCTTTGTCTTCAGTTGAGGTGATCACATCTGTTTCCTTGGCTGAAGCTTCTTCCTTGATCTCCTCGTCTGCAGGAATGGAAGTGATATCCTCTTGAGGGAGGATGACCTCTGGCTCCTTGTCCTGCGGAGTGGAAGTCTCCTGCATTCCTGCAAGAGGAGTCACTTCGGTAGGAATTGCCGCTGGCTCGTCTTCTGGAAGAGGAGTGGTCTCCTTACCGTGTTTTGGACTGGAGGGTACCTCCTTCTCAGCCTCTGGTTCCGTCACGATTTCTTCTACATGTGCAGGTAACTCAATTTCTCTGGAAAGTGTTGTGTCGTCGGGAGTAGCATCAATTTTATTGTCGTCTTCAGGTGCTTCTGCTGTGGGCGTTGCTGACTCGGAGACAACTGCTGGCTGTTCTTCCGCAGATTTCTCCAGAGTATCGGGAAGCTCCTTGTCTTGGGTAAGATCTTCAGTAGGCTCTTGTGCAGCCGGAAGAATGTCGACGGTATCCTCCTCGTCGTGCTGTTCAGCAGGAGTGGCTGGGGAAGCAATGACTTCGGTATGCTTCTCCTCAGAAACGGAAGACACCTCGCTTCCTGCAGCAGGCGATTCTTCTGGAGAAATGGCTGCCGGCTCGGTCACTGGAAGTGCAGGAATTTCCTTTTCCTCAGAGGAACCTTCATCTGCTGTAAGGTCTTTGTCTGCAGTAAGGGTGATGACATCTGTTTCCTTGGCTGAAGCTTCTTCCTTGATCTCCTCGTCTGCAGGAATGGAAGTGATATCCTCTTGGGGAAGATCTGCAGTAGGCTCTTGTGCAGTCGGAAGAATGTCAACGGTATCCTTCTCGTCGTGATGTTCAGGAGGAGTGGGTGGGGACGCAATGACTGCGGGTTCCTTCTCCTCAGAAACTGAAGTCACCTCGCTCTCTGCAGCAGGCAATTCTCCTGGAGAAATGGCAGCCTGCTCGCTCTCTGGAAGCGGAGGAACTTCCTTCTCCTCAGAGGAACCTTCATCGGCTGTAAGGTCTTTGTCTGCAGTAGGGGTGATGACATCTGTTTCCTTGGCTGAAGCTTCTTCCTTGATCTCCTCGTCTGCAGGAATGGAAGTGATATTCTCTTGAGGGAGGATGACCTCTGGCTCCTTGTCCTCCGGGGTGGAAGTCTCCTGCGTTACTGGAAGAGGAGTCTCAACGGTCGCAATTGCCGCTGGTTCGTCCTCTGGAAGAAGACATGTCTCCTTATCATGTTTGGGACTGGAGGGTACCTCCTTCTCAGCCTCTGGTTCCGGCACGCTCTCTTCTTCATGTGTAGGTAACAGAATTTCTCTGGAAAGTGTTGTGTCGTCGGCAGTATCATCAGTTTTAATGTCGTCTTCAGCTGCTTCGGCTGTGGGCGGTACCGAGTCGGAGACAACTGCTGGCTCTTGTTCCGCAGATTTGTCCAGAGTATCGGGAAGCTCCTTGTCTTGTGGAAGATCTGCAGTAGGCTCTTGTGCAGTAGGAAGAATGTCGACGGTATCCTTATCGTCGTGCTGTTCAGGAGGAGTGGGTGGGGACGCAATGACCTCGGGTTCCTTCTCTTCAGAGACTTCGGGTTCGTTCTCCTCAGAAACTGAAGAACCCTTGCTTCCTCCAGCAGGCGATTCTGCTTGAGATATGGCCGCCGTTTCGGCCTCTGGAAGTGTTGGAATTTCCTTTTCCTCAGAGGGTATTTCATCAGCTGTAAGAATTGTGTCTGCAGTAGAGGTGACTACATCTGCTGTCTTGGTTGAGGCGTCGTCCTTGATCTCCTCGTCTGCAGGAGTCGAAGTCATATGCTCTTGAGGGAGAATGACCTCCGGCTCCTTGTCGTCGGAAGTGGAAGTCTCCTGCGTTCCTGGAAGAGGAGTCTCTTCGGTAGGAATTTCCGCTGGCTCGGTCTGTGGAAGAGGAGTTGTCTCCTTATCGTGTTCTGGACTGGAGGGTACCTCCTTCTCAGCCTCTGGTTCCGTCAGGATTTCTTCTACATGTGCAGGTAACACAATTTCTCTGGGAAGTGTTGTGTCGTCGGGAGTATCATCAGTTTTAATGTCATCCTCAGCTGCTTCGGTTGTGGGCGGTACTAAGTCGGAGGCAACTGCTGGCTCTTCTTCCGCAGTTTTCTCCAGAGTATCGGGAAGCTCCTTGTCTTGGGGAAAATCTGCAGTAGGCTCTTGTGCAGCCGGAAGAATGTCGACGGTATCCTTCTCGTCGTGGTGTTCAGCAGGAGTGGCTGGGGAAGCAATGACTTCGGTATGCTTCTCCTCAGAAACGGAAGACACCTCGCTTCCTGCAGCAGGCGATTCTTCTGGAGAAAGGGCTGCCGGCTCGGCCACTGGAAGTGCAGGAATTTCCTTTTCCTTCGAGGGTAATTCATCTGCTGTAAGAGCTTTGTCTTCAGTAGAGGTGATGACATCTGCTTCCTTGGATGAAGCTTCTTCCTTGATCTCCTCGTCTGCAGGAATGGAAGTGATATCCTCTTGAGGGAGAATGACCTCCGGGTCCTTGTCCTCGGGAGTGGAAGTCTCCTGCGTTACTGGAAGAGGAGTCTCTTCGGAAGCAATTGCCGCTGGTTCGTACTCTGGAAGAAGAGATGTCTCCTTATCATGTTTGGGACTGGAGGGTACCTCATTCTCAGCCTCTGGTTCCGTCACGCTCTCTTCTTCATGTGGAGGTAACAGAATTTCTCTGGATAGTGTTGTGTCGTCGGGAGTATCATCAGTTTTAACGTCGTCTTCAGCTGCTTCGGCTGTGGGCGGTACTGAGTCGGAGACAACTGCTGGTTCTTCTTCCGCAGATTTCTCCAGAGTATCGGGAAGCTCCTTGTCTTGGGGAAGATCTGCAGTAGGCTCTTGTGCAGCCGGAATAATGTCGACGGTATCCTTCTCGTCGTCCTGTTCAGCTGGAGTGGGTGGAGAAGCAATGACTTCGGTATCCTTCTCCTCAGAAACAGAAGACACCCCGCTTCCTGCAGCAGGCGATTCTTCTGGAGAAATGGCTGCCGGCTCGGCTACTGGAAGTGCAGGAATTTGCTTTTCTTCAGAGAAACCTTCATCTGCTGTAAGGTGTCTGTCTGCAGTAAGCGTGATGACATCTGTTTCCTTGGCCGCAACTTCTTCCTTGATCTCCTCGTCTGCAGGAATGGAAGTGATATCCTCTTGAGGGAGAATGACCTCCGGCTCCTTGTCCTCGGGAGTGGAAGTCTCCTGCGTTACTGGAAGAGGAGTCTCTACGGTAGCAACTGCCGCTGGTTCGTTCTCTGGAAGAAGAGATGTCTCCTTATCATGTTTGGGACTGGAGGGTACGTCCTTCTCAGCCTCTGGTTCCTTCACGCTCTCTTCTTCATGTGTAGGTAACACAATTTCTCTGGAAAGTGTTGTGTCGTCGGCAGTATCATCAGTTTTAAAGTTGTCTTCAGCTGCTTCGGCTGTGGGCGGTACTGAGTCGGAGACAACTGCTGGCTCTTCTTCCGTAGATTTGTCCAGAGTATCGGGAAGCTCCTTGTCTTGGGGAAGATCTGCAGTAGGCTCTTGTGCAGTAGGAAGAATGTCGACGGTTTCCTTCTCGTCGTGCTGTTCAGGAGGAGGGGGTGGGGACGCAATGACTTTGGGTTCCTCCTCCTCAGAAAGTGAAGACACCTCGCTCTCTGCAGCGTTTGATTTTTCTGGAGAAATGGATGCCGATTCGTCCTCGGGAATTGCAGGAATTTCCTTTTCCTCAGAGTGAGGAATGAGTACTTCATCTGCTGTAAGATCTTTGTCTGGAGTAGAGATGGTGACATCTGCTTCCTTGGGCGAAGCTTCTTGCTTGATCTCCTCGTCTGCAGGAGTGGAAGCGATATCCTCTTGAGGAGGAATGACTTCTGGCTCCAGTTCCTTGGGAATGGAAGTCTCCTGCGTTACTGCAATAGGTGTCTCTTCGGTAGGAATCGCCGGTGGGTCGTCCTCTGGAAGAAGAGATGTCTCCTTATCATGTTTGGGACTGGAGGGTACCTCCTTCTCAGCCTCTGGTTCCGGCACGCTCTCTTCTTCATGTGTAGGTAACAGAATTTCTCTGGAACGTGTTGTGTCGTCGGCCGTATCATCAGTTTTAATGTCGCCTTCAGCTGCTTCGGCTGTAGGCGGTACTGAGTCAGAGACAACTGCTGTCTCTTCTTCCGCAGATTTCTCCAGAGTATGTGGAAGGTCCTTGTCTTGGGAAAGATCTGCAGTAGGCTCTTGTGCAGCCGGAAGAATGTCGTCGGTATCCTTCTCGTCGTGTTGTTCAGCATTAGTGGGTGGGGAAGCAATGACTTCGGTATCTTTTTCCCCCGAAACTGTAGACACCTCGCTCTCTGCAGCGGGCGATTCTTCTGTCGAAGTCTCATGTGTTACTGGAAGAGGAGTCTCTTCGGTAGGAATTGCCGCTGGTTTGTTCTCGGGAAGAGGAGTTGTCTCCTTATCATGTTTAGGACTGGAGGGTACCTCCTTCTCAGCCTCTGGTTCCGTCTCGCTCTCTTCTACATTTGCAGGTAACACAACATCTCTGGAAAGTGTTGTGTCGTCGGGAGTATCATCAGTTTTAATGTCATCCTCAGCTGCTTCGGTTGTGGGCGGTACTGAGTCGGAGGCAACTGCTGGCTCTACTTCCGCAGATTTCTCCAGAGTATTGGGAAGCTCATTGTCTTGGGGAAGATCTGCAGTAGGCTCTTGTGCAGCCGGAAGAATGTCGACGGTATCCTTCTCGTCGTGGTGTTCAGCAGGAGTGGGTGGGGACGCAATGACTTCGGTATCTTTTTCCTCAGAAACTGTAGACACCTCGCTCTCTGCAGCGGGCGATTCTTTTGTCGAAGTCTCCTGCGTTACTGTAAGAGGAGTCTCTTCGGTAGGAATTGCCGCTGGTTCGTTCTCTGGAAGAGGAGTTGTCTCCTTATCAGGTTTAGGACTGGAGGGTACCTCCTTCTCAGCGTCTGGTTCCATCACGCTCTCTTCTACATGTGCAGGTAAAACAATTTCTCTGGAAAGTGTTGTTTCGTCGGCCGTATCATCAGTTTTATTGTCGTCTTCAGCTGCCTCGGCTGTAGGCGGTACTGAGTCGGAGATAACTGCTGGCTCTTCTGCCGCAGATTTCTCCAGAGTATTGGGAAGCTCCTTGTCTTGGGGAAGATCTGCAGTAGGCTCTTGTGAAGCCGGAACAATGTCGTCGGTATCCTTCTCGTCGTTCTGTTCTGCAGTAGTGGGTGGGGAAGCAATGACTTCGGTATCCTTCTCCTCAGAAACTGAAGAGACCTCAGGAGTAGCTTCGATTGTTGTGAGGATCTCGTCCACCTCCAAAGTTCTTGATACTTCGGGTTTCTCAACTCCCTCTTCATCGTCCTGTAAAGCAGCAAGAACCTCAGCATCTGTAGTGGCTATCTGTTTTTCAGGAGCAATTTTGTCGTGTAGATCGAATTCCGATTTTGTTTCCTCGATATCGACAGCAGGTAAGACAATAGCCCCTTGTGTGTCAACTGCAATTTCTCTGGTTGTTACATCTGAAGGAGCAGCTGGTGAATCAGGCTGAGCTTCTGGTGATGTCTCCAAAGCTGCAGGAGTAGCAGGGAACTGGACATCAGCAAGACCATCCTTTGGTTCTTCTGGGGCCTCTAACTGGGTAGCAGGTAAAAGAATCTCCCTCTCAAATGGAGTAGCCTTCTCAGTGGAAGTCTCAACCACTTCGTCTTTCGATCTGACCTCCACTGGCTCCTTGTAAGCAAATCCTGGTGGAGTATCTTCCTCTCCGGATGTTTCGAAGGTGGTAGGAACATCATGCTGAATTACGTCAGATGATGCGCTCGAAACTTCCTTCTCTGTAGTACCTAGTATGGTGTCCTCTGGAGTTTTCGTTGGAGATGATTCACTTTCTTTTGATGGTATTTCAACGGAAGAAAGAGTAATCTCCTGGTAGTCATCTTCAATGGGTGTGTCAACTACTTTCTTCTCATCTGTAGCAACTGCAGGTGCACTTGCACCATCTGATGGGTATTCCTCCTCTGATGAAGCAGAAAAATCAACTCCGAAAGGAATAAATACTTGTGGTTTGTCTAGGCCCGTTGGTAGGTCTTTCTCTTCAGATCCAGCGGGGACTGCAGCAGAATGGGAGTCCTTCGGTCCTTCAGTTGTTGAAGCAATTGGAGATTTTTCGATGGCAAGCGAAGCTGCGGCATCTTGATCTCCTGGTATAGCTGCTGAAGTTGAAGTCTCTAGTTCCGCTCTCTCGACAGGTTGATGTAAACTTCTCAACTCCTGCAACAAAAATTTATACAAATGAATAAAGCTGCTATATGAAACGATATCAAGGATCATCTAGAAACGAAGGATAACAAGAATCTCCCTCGGCAGAAGATGGAACGGACAGGGTAGAAGAAAAATTCGTATTATCAAAGCGCTTCAGTCAATTTCTGGCCCTCATGTTTGTAACAAACTATTTGAGTTTGGGAAGCAACTTGAAGAGTTCAACCTTTGAAGAGTAGCTTCGGACAAGAAATTATGGTGGAAGAACCGTGGGATAAAAGCTTATGGTACCTGAACGATTGAGGATTTGTCGTCATCTTTCTTTTCTTCCTCCGACGACCAGTCGTATTTTTTCCCCAAGGTATCTTCCTCATGTTTATCTCCGAAAGTACCAACTTGCTGTGAGGCAGAAATCACGTTCTTCTCATCCTCTGGTCCCCTGATGATTTCAAACTCTGCACTTCCTGCCGACGAAGATTGCGAGCTAAGTGTACCCTTCGGTTTGTCAAGATCGGTATCTGTTGCTGGTGGCTCTTCACGTGCTGTATAACCTTCCTTCTGCAAGGAGTTCAACCACATAACTTAGATACAAAGTAATATAAAAATTGTACGCCTTGTGTACAGATATGTGAAAAAGCTATCTTTCTTCTTACGTGCAAGAACGCAATAAAACTTCATTAAGTTAAAATTGAGTACTTTCGTGTTGGCTGGTCGATTGCGGACTTCTCGCAAATTTCTAAAGTTTGTCAAAGTATGTAAAATTGATTGTTGTTCCAAAGCGCTTGCTCCAAATCAGCCTTGAGTTAACAAGACTCATATGGCCATAAATCTTATCCCACATAATGCTGATAAAAAGACGTAAAGTATTTTCCACGGATCACTACAGCAACTCTAGACAACTCTAGACATTAAAGCAAACAATAGAGAGTAAGCATTCAAACTGAAAAGTGTTTGACAAGTATTGCAGGATTACGACGAATTAAAGAAGTATACTTTAAGAACACTAAAATTCACTCCCGAAAGCGAGAAGTTTCTTTGAGAGGATTCGAAAGACTTGTGTTGTGAGCTTTACCCTCAGAAGCAAAGCAGGGCTCTCAGGTCCCGAAGGATCAAGAAGTCCGCCTTGAGGTTGAGGATCAAATGCATGTGAAGAAACAAGGATTGGCGTGACAGATACTGAACTCTCCGCCTGCTCTTCCGGTGTTCTCATGTCAATGTCCAGACTCCTTGATTTCCTCTCCAAGACAAATGTTGACTCCTCCTCGGCCTGAGGACTGACGACAGGTTGGGAATCTTCTTTCTTGGCTAAAGTTGCAGCTAGTTGAGGCTCTCGAGTGACCAGCTCCCAGTTATCACCGAGTTCTACGAAAGCCTTCATTGTTTCGTGCTCTTTTACCTTCTTCGCTTCGAGTGCTTCATCTGGTGTCATCTCAGATTCAATTGGACTTGATGATATCGCGATCTTCTGGCTGACACTCGCCCCAAATGTGGATTCTGGAATTGAGCCCTTCACCACAGTACTTCGAGCAGGTAAGGAAGCTGACGAGGTCAAAATTTGCTTACTCCGAACCTGGGAAGCAGTTGACTCTTGTAGCGATTCTGCAGTCGAAGGACCGAAGCTAAAGCCTTGATCCGTAGTGGGACTGAAGACGGGAGTCTCGAATTTGGAAACAGGAGATTTTCCAAGTGAAGTGGCCAATGGAGTGGATAGAGCAGTAGGGGACTTTGGCAGCTCCTCAGCTGCATCGTGGAAGGTTTCTTGTACTTCTTCGAGTGGAACAGGAGCAGAAGAAGACCCAGGCACAGGTAAGGCAACCGTAGTTTTCAAGGCCGGGGGCTTAGATCCTCTTTTTCTTAGCCTTCCACCTGAATGTGATGACTCCCCTGGAGAGCTAGCATGCAGTTCAGCTTCCTCCCCTTCCTACAAGGATCAATTCATGAGTTAGTAAAAAACGTTGTTGATGACTAATACATTCTAGGGAGAGCAGTTCAATACTGAAGTTTCTGAAATGTACATGAATTTTCTAAGCAACTGCGCATTACCCACAGTAGCACCTGCATGGAAAGACTTGTGTTAAGCCTATGTGCTCTGGATTCTAAGAGTTATAAGACTGCTTGAACCAATTAAGTTTTACCCTTCGACATCGCTCGAGCAAGCGAAGACACAATATTACCTCGACAAACAGTTCACTTTTCAGTGGATGGAAGATTAGTCAACTCGAAGGACATACGAATTGACGAATACAAAGGCTGGCAGCCAATGCTCTTTCTTAGAGCATACTGTTCATTCCAAATACGCCAACACATCCTCAATTGCAGCTCCTCAAAATACAGAAGGCCAGGAAATTTGAATGTTTTGAATGTAGAAGCAAGCGAGTGCGAAATCTTAATGAGCAAATTAAAGTTCAGGGATCCTATCAACCATGCTATATTAATGCTACATGCTACATCGTACATCGTGATTTGCGGTCAATGCGGAAGTTTCCGACGAGTTGTACAGATGAAATGTATGGAAGTAGAAAATTGCACTAGAAGCAAGTGATTATTACCATTACCTTCAAGTCGGGTCCCAAACAACGATACTACATGGTTTTTCGATGTCCATTCTTACTCCAGAAATGTAGCTATCACAGTAGTCGGCGAAGCGGGTTAATCTTCGAATTGTACGTAAACATGATGATAAATGTCCAGCAAGCGAGTACCTGATGGTTAAGGAGTTTGAAGGCTCGGCTTCATCGCGGTAATCTCATGATATGTAATTAGTCTCACTTATACACGATCCAGAATCTATCGGCTGCAGTAATCGTTTCAAGAGAAGACCATCTGCTCTATCAGACTATCCATTCACATATTCAGGGCGATTGCTTGATTCTCCTGCTTGTTTGGCTGGCTAGTCCCAGAATTACCGCAGTGTGAATTAGCCACATTCCTCCACTCGAAGCCATATTGAGCCTAACAAGGCGAGGACTGTGTGGGGCAGCCAAATTGACCTCAGTCTATACGGGGATATATATATATGTCCAGTTGTCACGCCAGCTGAGGCGAATACAACCAGGCAACATCAGACGTTTTACTGTATTAAACTGAAATATGAGAAAAATTCTCAATCCGTCTCAGTACTGTCACGACCTGGTACGCGAACGTGTTTAATAACAATTAGGCAGGTATAACACTATGTCATGCTCAAGTCCCGTGCATTCTGGGATATGTTATTCATGAAGGAATGATCACTGAGCAGCTCAATTTGAAAGCAAAGGAAATCATGCAGCGGGCGAGAAAGCTAGGACGTTAAATTGATGAAGAAGGCTGATCTTCTGAAACCAATATTATCAATTTCTAGCTTATGACGAGTATATTCATCTCTACATGCGAATCTAATTTGGAAAATTTCTTCCTCTCCTTGGGTTTCAAACGCTCCTCTTTACCGAGTGAGAAAAGTAGCTAATTTACGTCACTGATCTTTAGCGCGATTAGATAATACTATGAATGTAATAGTATGAATCGGTCTGATATTTTATTATGGATTGCTGAACCTATAAAAATGTGCTGCAGTGCAGTCTGCCAGTCACACTTCAATAAAACAGTACACTGGGAAAGGCTGTGTAACTGCCAAGTTAGCCGCTTAATCGGACTTTAATAATGTCCAGCTGTCAATCTATATGCTCAAGCGAGAAAAGGTTGCTGGCAGCGATCCCATTCCGTCTATAATATATGCGGGTCCCTAGAACCAATAGATGTAACTTTATGCATGTGCCTATGACATGAGTCCGTGGGCCCTTCAACTTATGTCTGATCGTAAGAGGCAGAAGGGAGTGTAGTACATACACTGCGAGCATGCTATGAGACAAAGTCATGGCAGCAGGATTGTTATACGTGCAGATGCCTTCAGCTGGAAATAAACTATGGTAATCTATTGAAAGGCTTTAGATTGTGCGCGGGTTTATCACAGTGAAACAAATTCGAGGTGGAATGCATTCGTTTTTAAAATGAGGACAGTAAGCAAAAGCTTGCGCTCTTAGTGGTATGAGAATTTCACGAAATGATAAAATCAAATTTTCGTTCGAGATCCAATCATCAGTGCAACAAAGAGGGGCTGATTCCTACCTTTCTGACGACTGGCTGAGGGCTCGAGGGAGCCTTGCTGGACTTGCCGCCGCGCACATGGAATGAGGAGTCCGTATCGGTCCTCTCAAGTTTGCTCGAACACTTCCCCATCGTAACGAAGGTCTCTACTGAACAACCTGTAGGAAACAGAAGACGAGAGTACACGCAAACGCTACAACGAGGGACGGATGTATAGTAAGGCTAACAATCAAATTCAGTCTGTAGATTAGAGTACTGTCGAGCTCAGTCGCTAGATTCAGGTATAAGAGTAAGATAACGGCTTGAGCAGTAAGTGCGATATGAAGCACCGTGATTGAGATTTACGCTATATCGCGAAAACAAAAGTCAATTCAAATTCAAGAGAAATCTTAACTTTTTTAATTTTTTCTGTTAGTGAAGCTATCAAATCCCAAGGGGTTTGTCTAGACCTCGAATGACTACAAGATTCACCTATGTACGAGTCAAATGCAATGCGAATAAAAGGAGCAAGCAAAGACAAGCGTTTGGAGGCGATTGACCAATTCTAGCACACTTGTGCGAAACAGGAGCGATGCAGCAATTGAAAAAATATCGAACTGCAATCAAATGCTTTGGTTCAACGAGCACAGGCAAAGGCGCTGGTGGATCCGAAAGGTAATAAATAATATCAAGATGATGTACACAAGCAATCTAGCCTAATACTGGTGTTCAGGCTAGCCTATCGAAATTCAGAAGTATCATGAAAAGATACACAAAACGAATCAGATGCAAGTTTTGATGCAACAGTGTAATGTGAGGATTGAGTACCTCGAGACACAAACAACGGACCGATGATCGGATCGTTGATCTGACCTGGTAGATATATGTTCACCCCTTGAAACCGTAAGGTATGAGATCGATTGTCCACCAGCCTATCTCAGAGTGTCGCAGTGTTGCCTTCCTCGCTAAAAAAGTTGCAAAGAAAGCAACAAGCCCTGCAAGACACGTGAGTTTGTTCTATCTATACGTGAATTTGAGCAGAAATAAAAACAAGCTCAATTCAATCCAAATCGCTCGGCCGGATAACGAGGTCCGAGCAACACAAATTCTCAATACTAAGAAGTAGAATTTGAGCTATGTGTGTGCAAAAACAACTAATATATTTACAAGGATGATTAGCTTGCGATATGAAAAAATGATGCAAGCTAGAACTGAGATGCGGTTATCCCAGTGAGTGGATGAACAGGAGCAAGTCCTTGCTCGAGTCCGTAAATTTGACTCACTCAGCGAAATTTAAAAAAGGGTTTCGCGAGTTGCAGTCCGGAGCTGGATTCTAAGTCCGTGAGACCGACTGTGACCGAAGTGTAGGAGAGAGTGGCAGAGAGTTGAGAATGTGTGCGCAGGCAGATGTGTGCCTGTGACTGAAGATCGGATTGTCTCAGAGACAATCTGAATTCTAACGAGCGAAATTGTTTGGAAATGTTTGAATCAAAATTGTGCGTGCCTGGAATTCCACAAGAGAATGCAGTATCTTTGTTTGTCTAAGCTGATCTGATCGAGAATCTAACGACTTGTTCTACCTATCGAGTCTAAAGAGCTAGAAGAAAGAGTTTGCAGTGAGTGAACGCGCAATCAGATGGCCAGCAGAAGATGCTCGCGATCGGTGCGCATGCGTTCACGAGAGCGAGAGAGGAGAGCCTAGTAAGTGAGAGAAAGAGAGAGCAGTGCAGGTTGAAGCAGACGATCGCGGAGCCTTATGAAGGGCCTCAAAAGCGCAAATCGTCATCGCCGCATATATCGCTAACAATGCTTTTTGCCTCCTTAAGCTCCGATTGTCATTTCCTGCTCGACTTTGACTTCCTTCTGTCACTCCAATTTTCTTTTTCTTATTTTTACAGCTCTCCGCTCCCCATCCCTCCCTCCTCCCATCCCATCTCAGTTCATCTCTTCCCTCTCCTCCCCGATCTCCCTTCCCCTTCCATCACCATCGCCCCTCCCCCGCCGCCCCCACTTTCTCCCTCACTCTCTCTCTCTCTCTCTCCCCCTCGCGCTCGCTCTCCCTTCGTCCTCTCTGAACGTTGTCCCCCACGCTCCCCGCTCCCGCTCCCGCTCCCTCTCGTGCTTTCCACACTGTTCGTGCCCGCCCGCGCTCTTCCAATCCACAGCTACAGCTTGCTCGCATTGCCTTCCCAGGCCACAGCGGTCACGGGAGAGTGGCCACTGAGCCGGCCGGTTTCGTCGACAGAATATGAGTCAGGGCTCAGGCGCGGTCACGTTCCGGTTGCTCGGTTGCTCGGTTTCGGTCCAGCGGGGACGTCCAGACTGACGGGGCTGGTCAGGGCAGGGCAGGGAGACGGAGGCCGATGAAGTGACCGATAGTCCGTCGAAGCGAACGTTTTCGTTCCGTTTCGTGAGTCCCACCTTTGGAGCCAAGGGTGACACTCCGGCAGCAGCAGCGTCGTAGTCGTCGGCGTCGCCAGTCTACCGAAGTACGGCATTTCCGACCAGTGACTGAGCGTGCGTGGATCGACGGCGGGGTCAGGTGGCCCCGCGATGTGGAACCACCACCCGCTTCTCCATCGTCATCCTCGTCCACACCCTTTTCCTCCCTCGGCTCGCCTTCTCGCTTTCTCCCCGTGCCTGTTTCCTGCTTATCTTTTCCCCCGGACGAGCTGTTTTTCTCCAGATAATTCATACTTCTACCCGCCCATGTGCGCTTTCTGTCCCTCGTTGCCGAAGGCCGTGTTCGTGTTAGGAACCAGCTGTTCTTAACTGGTTTACCCTCTGTAGCACTTCTCTTCACTCTCCCGACCCCGGTTCCTTTCAGGGAAAGTTGCTCACGTACCGGCACCTTGTGTCAGCTCTTCCGTTCTGATCCCAACCACTTTATCAATGTTGTATCTTCATCGGTCTCTCTACCTTACTCTACGTTCTTCGATTGTTAGCCTTAATCCGATCTCTCTTTACATGTGCTCTTTGTGAAGAGCTACATGCGGTACTTAAGTGCTGCATGTGACTTCCTTTCGCTCAATATAAAACTCTGTCGCACTTGGTGCATACTTGAACGACTCTTTGGTGTTTCGTGTATACTGCTCTCCTCAGCTCAGATCCATATCGCTACCATCGCTGCCCAAGAGGACAAGGAGAAGGAAAAATATTCCTTTTCCTCTAACTTGGGAGCCTAAATCAAATGATGAGATATAGTGACTAGTCAGAGGGCTTTCAGGTACAGAAAAATACAATGGTCGAAATGGAAGAGGTTTCTGGTTGACAAACTTAGTGGTCTGGACTTGTTCCCCAATTTCATGAGTGAACAATCTGTTCATTGTACCTTCACGCGTATTCACTGTGTGTTGAATCCATCACTTCCACTTTTCTCTCAAGCATTATTGCACTTGCCCACAACCAGGCTAAAAGATTATTTTGCTTGAATATGGACCTGAAGTTATTTCTTCTGTTTCAGTGAGTCTTTCCACTTCGTTATTAATTTTTGTACGCCAACAGTGTATAACATTGCGGTGATGAATTACGTAGCCTTTGAACCCAATTAATCAGTGCTGTAAGTTGAATACAATGATGGATGAGGGATATCACCCGCAAGTTCTCCCGTCTAATCCTAATCTTCACATGGACCTACATTGCACACCTCTTCGCCAAATTATTTTGCATTTGGATGGAGGATGCTTAGATAAATTATACGTCCAAATCAAAATACGTCGACGTACTCCGTCCATGTCTTCATGAGTGCTATCTTGCCAGACAGTGATGAAGAAGAGAATCTAAGCGACGCAGGATGCAGAAGGGAGTTACTTTCCAGAGTTCAACTGATCACATATTTAAGTCAAACATTAAATCCGTTCTTAGCGTCCTTACCATTCTGCAAGGAACGGGAACATTCTCTCGTACTGTACATCGGCACCAGCTGGTTTTACCTTTTCCGCCCAGTCCGGTCGCAAGGAAATCCGGTCAACTTAGACGGTGATCTCAGATTGTCGGCAGGAAGGTTGGGCCCGCGATAGATGGAGGCACCGGCTATCCGCGGCTATGGGCGCACTTGCGCAGTACATTTCTTCTCTTCGGCTGCTCGGATTTCGGCCCCTTTCTGTTTCGAAACCAGCTGGGACTCTTGTTTTCTTCTCACATGCGCTTCCTCTCGTTCTAACTATTACTGTCGTATTTTAGTCCAGATGGTTTTAAGACAAACTCGCTGTTAAAACGAGCAGGTGTTTTGTTTTATCCGCCTCCCTTAACTGCTTCGTGTGCGCTCCTTTACTCCATAATTTTTTCGGACCAGCTGTTTCTTTTGTTTTCTTGCTCTTGCGGCCTTGCATACTCTCCCCGCCCTTGAATCGACCACGACCTTCTCTTTCCGACCTGGGCTCTTGTCTATGGCATGCTTTGGAAGATCCATCTGCTGAAGGCGTCTTTCAACCTGCACATGTCTTCACCACGCAGCTATGTATGTTGCAGTTTTTAGAAAAGGTGACTATTTTGAGCTGACTCCCCCACAAGTAAATATTCTATTTTTTTTTGTGAACCCCCTCACAGCGAGGAACTTTTTCCTTCTCCTCGGAGATTGAAGTATGGAATTCCGCACTTTAGTAGAAGGAGGAATCTCTTCGCTAATCAATGATCCGAACCTGAATGGATGGACGGATTTTACTCCATGACGTCCTACTTTGATACTAGAACATTCTTCGTGGAGGCCCACATAGATATCAACCCATATGCAAAATCGGTCATCTCGTGCTTGATGGTCGAATATCCGGGTCATAACAGGGATATGTTGATTGAGGTCCAATGACCCTAATTCAGATAAAGGAATACCTACAATGAATATCAAGGCTACAATAGAGAAAAGAGGTCTACGAAGGCCACACCGGAGCAGAAGAACCTAAATTGTGGAACGAATTGGAGGTAGAGGTCCACCTACGTTGGGATGGAGTAAGGGTAGTAGTTTTGTTACAATAAAGGATGACACAGCTAAGACCACTTATCTCTTAGTGAGTTTGAGCAATGTATCAGGTTAACCGACTTAAATGCAAGACAGTTAGATGGTTGAAGCACATGGTCATGTTATGAACGCCTTCCGTCAGAAACAAAACTATAAATTCTAACAAGTTTTGTTCCAACGAAAAATGGGAACTTTCCACCACTCTATTGATGTTTGAAACGATCGCCAGCCCCATGATATCACAATATGAACTGTACTATATTTATGGGGAAAACTTGAAACAGCTAAAACTGAATTCATTAATAAATTAGTTAGATAAATGTCATTTTCATATATCTCAAGAACAAATTTTCCAAAATATTTAGTTTATAGATTTTTATCATACATCTCCAATTTTTTCTAGTAAAAGTATGCTTGTATATACCTCTATTTTGAGATTTTTGATTTTGATGATTTCATTCGTTCCCATCCATGAATATGTGTCAACCATTCCATCGCCATCTCCTGACTTGACAATAAAACTATTTTTAGTTAGCTCGTGTCATTTAGGTTCGCCTTTAATCGCGATCTCGACATACACACCAGTAGGATGCTAATTGCCTCATATCACAATCGGTTAGCTTTACGTCCTGCTGGTATCCCAACTTGCTCCCTATCCTTCCGCCCTTCAGTATATCTTCTTGACTCCATTCAACTGGCTGGAGTGTTAATAGGTAGAAGCCCTTACTTTACCGTGGGAAGGCAAACTCTGAGATGAGCGGAACCTACTTTGGAACACTACAAGCCGACTGTAAGTTGAGTACACAAGCTCTTCTTGTGAATGTGGAGCAAATTTTGGGAAGACAAACTTATAAAGCTCGGATATGATATCCAAACTTTAAAAAATTGCTTGGCATCCTTTAGACATGAGACAATGTGATGATTAGATGAAGGTTCTAGGGAGAAAGTTTATAAATGATAGTGAGCAGAGGTGGTACAGCACGGGAAACGATTATTGGAGATACCACTAGTGTCCATACTCTGCACATCCCGTAAGCGGCGTAGGAAGAAAAATCTTGCACAAATTTGAATATTTTACCTTTTAGCTGCGACAAGAGATAGTGCTAGCTGAAATCTGAAGTACATTCTTGATAACCTCCACATCTTCTAGAAAGACCTTAAAACATGATTCATACGAACATTCGCTCAACCATCAGAGGTTTTATAACAAAGAAATCAGATGTCTTGGTTCTTACGGATGTTGTCTGCACCGCACCAAACACTGCGTATTAGATCATTTGAGGACGATCACTTTCCGGGCCTGGGAAGCATCACTCTTTCCGGACACATTCAGCTCTCATCAGGGTTTAAAAGTCGTTTGACATTTTTCCAAGTGTCGTAGAAGATTGTACTACAAGAACCTCGCAGCTTTTCTCAGAAGAGTCGAAGTGTTGACTGAACCAGAGAACTTTAATCGAGAGAGTTAGATTGGTATCCATGTCTTCCTCACAAATCTCATCCGGGAAAAAGCAGAAGAGGCCATGCCGCCTAGCTAGTCTAAAATTCGCGGACTTAGACTGGTCATGCATTAGAATAGTGGTGGACGAGGTGAGGTGAGATTGACAAACATTTGACATAGTTAATTATAGGAGGGGGAGAGAAATCCCGAGGGCATGTAGAGTACCACAACAACACACTCACTCTTTCACTGTGGGTCTGGACTGGTCTGGACTGGCCTGGCCTGGAAAGGCCAGGCGCAAGTGGAGCTTTAAAAGTCTTCTTAACGAAGAAACGAA